CTGACTGCTTTTCTGAGGTGAAGACAGCATCTCCTGTCAGCTCTTTCCTCACGAACATCCACTTGCTTCCTCAGGCTGCGCAACTGGCAGCAGGGAAACTGAGGGAAGAGCAGTTGATGGGATGTCTGCCAAGCTCCGCTGAGACCAGCGCAGGGCTGCGAGGATGATCAGAGGCCTGGAACATCTGCCCTGTGAGGAAAGGCTGAGAGAGCTGGGYCTGTTCAGCCTGGAGAAGAGAAGGCTGAGGGGGGACCTGATCAGCGTGTATAAATACCTCAGGGGAGGCAGTGAGGAGGAGGGGGGCGGCCTCTTTTCAGTGGTGGACACTGATAGGACTAGAGGAAATGGCCACAGACTGAAACACCGAAAGTTCCACAGGAAATTGAGGAACAATTTCTTAACAGTGAGGGTGACAGAGCCCTGGAACAGGCTGCCTAAAGAGGTTGTGGGCAACCTCTTGTGGGAAAAGGCCCTTCTCTGGAGACCTTTAAAAMCCRCTTGGATGCGGCCCTGTGCCTCGTGCTCTAGGTGACCCTGCGTGTGCAGGGGGTTGGAGTAGATGATCTCTGGAAGCCCCTTCCAACMTTAGGGATTCTATGATTCTGTGACCAGCAAAAAGCATTTGCTGAAGAACCACATGTGCTGCCGTGGGTTTGTGGCTTAGGGGTGTGTGCTGAGCCCTGCTGTTGGAAATGAGCTTTAGACTTGTGCCACCAGGGGCARGTCCAGGGCAAGGCGAGCGGAGCAGCAAGGACAGGGCAGGCGGCTTGAGCCGCTTCTCCGTGTACAGAATAAAGCTCCACTGGTCTCCTCGCGGGGTGGCTAAAGAGCTCTCCTGCAAGAGGCCAACACCTGATTTTTGTTGTCATCTTCCTCAAATTATGGAAAATTATGATGGTGAAATTATGGGGGTTTGTCTTGTTGCAGCTTCAGTGGTATGAAATGTGGTACCTGATCAGCCTGTCCAGTCTGCGTTTATTATCCCTCCCATAAAGTCTGCATTTTGCTGTGAAGAAAACTGGTAGAATTAACTGCTGTACAGCCCCAGGAAGGTACTATTATTATGTAGATATCATAATTAGGAATCGAACAGGCAGGAAACTGGTGAAAGATTTTGTATWTCCTTATCGTCCTTCAAAATCAATATATCTTCTATTTATTTTTTGTGGAATAACTTGATCTTCCATCTGAGGAAACATGCATGTGCCTAAAGAGCATTTGTGACACCCGTTTGTTTGTGTACGCTCAAATAATTTGTGTTGATATTTTTTTTGTGCATGTACAGAAATATTTTCTTGGCATGCATGTATTTTGCCAYGAGTGCTTAGCTTGTGCCTGCTCCAGGAGCTTCAGGTTGCTGTTAGGGGGTCATCTTAAAATATTGTCATAATTAAAAATATTTCTGTTCTGGCATCTTACTTTYAGAGGTGGCTTTTGGTAGTGGTTGGGTTTGGAGACCTTGGGGCAAAGCTCTTAATAACAGAGGGAAATTCTGAACTTCCTCTGCTATAAGAATCAGCAAATGTTCTGGTTGGAACACGGAGCTCTTCTGGGTAACATGCACTTGAAGAGATTAATAATTTATGTTGATACATGAATGCGATCATCAGCCTAGAGCTGCCCTAGTTCTTGTTGCTACTGTAGGTCTGAAACACAAATCAGTTTTATTTTCCTTTCCAGGGTAAAGGTTTGTACATCAAACAGCGTGGTGGGTTTTGTACATTTACACAGTGAGGAGGCGGTGGCAGCCCTGGGCTCGTGACTTCTGGAAGTGAAATGTGCACAAAAGTTGCTGCAAAGAGCGTCTGAGATAGTGGGTGCACAGGATTCGAGAAAGGCAGATTATGTTGCTCAAACCCTGTTTTTCATGTTTGGTAAGAAAAAGGACCCTCAAAGTTACTCAATATCTCATATATTTTATCTAATGACATAATCTAATATAATACAGTGTATATTATGTAACTGTACATACCACATATGTCACAAGGCACGATTAGTGGGGTACATAACTGTGCCTTGCCGGGTCTTAGTGCATCAAAGGCAGAAATTGTGAATCTAGGACTTTGCAGCATGTGAAGTAGCATGATTTCTGGTGCAGAGTTTAGTGGCTGTTAAACAGAACATGGCCTAAAAATAGAAACTCTGTGGAGAAAGGATGAGATCCGTAGGGCTGCAGATGTGCAGAAGAAGCATTTTTTTTGTGTGGACAGCTAGAGGTGGCTCCACGTGGTTTCTGGTGGAGAGGGCTCGGATGTGGAATATGGGACAGCAACGTACATGGAATCACAGAGCGGGTGAGGTAGGAAGGGACCTTTGGAGAAGATGCAGCCCCAGCCCCTGCTCATAGGGTCACCTAGAGCATGTGGCGCAGGGCTGTGTCCAGGTGGGTTTTCTGTCCCCACGGATGGAGACTCCGCAGCTTCTCAGGGCAATCGATGCTCTCTATATTTACACTTCTAAATGCAGCAAAATAAGAAGAACAGCTCCTACAAAAGCACCCGAGGCAGGCAAGGCTGCTTCGTCCAACTTTTAACATAGTTCAAAGGAATTATCCCTTTTGGGGAAAATAAGAAATGAATATACTGTCCTTTGAAGGAAAGTAGCGTTAGAAGTTATTAGCAAGTAATATCTAAGAGGAATGCCATATATATGGGAACTGTGTGTATTTATATCTAGAAAATATTAGATGGAGATAACTTTTAATACACATACAATCCTATATATGATTTTTTTTGCTGTTATATATAGTGTTGTACACTTCGTTCCTACATATACTTGTATATTTGTCTCTTAATTTGAAAATTTTGGACTCTGAATAATTTGTTCATCTACAGATCCTATTTGAATGCACAGATACAAAACTGAGCTGTGGTGTCACTCTGATTTGGATCACAGGCTCCTGCAGGCWGGGGCTGTCACCTCTGAGCACTGCTCTGCTCAGTGACTGCACTCCCAAAATAACGCAGGGCCCTCCATCCTCCCCCCTGTATCAGTGACCAAATTAAACCGCGTTTCAAAATCCAGCTTAACAGATCCCTCTATGTATTTGTCTTTCAAACATATAAGACAAAATAATACAACCAGAATAAAAAAAAATATTTATATATTTATATATTCATATGCATTTTTTTTTAGTTAGCTTGTCTTAGTCTTTTCTAGACYCATTTCTTTAGGAATAAGATGACTCTTTCTTTAAATTCTTTACGTTTCTCTCCTTAGCGTATCTACTTTGCTTTGGTATTAAGCTTTCTTTCTAAGCATTATTAAGTTTAAAGATATCTCTTTATCTTGTGAACTTTAATGATTCTCTACTTTAAAAATATTGGGTTCAGGTTTGTATTTTAACTTGTATAAAACTCTGTAGACAAGTGAAACGGTATCTTTTGCCTGCTGGTTGAAGATGGAGAGAATTGCAGTAGAAATGTACGATATGAATACCCAGCGTGGCATATAGATAAAAGTAAAGCTTTTGACAAATATTATAAAGGAATTTAAAAAGAGCTTCCTACTGTGCACTGTCTCAAAAAGGAACAGAGTTCTTACAATTTTTTAAATTCAATAAAATATTAACACTTTCTGCCAAGATGCAAGTCAAGTGAAATCCAATATTGTAGGAGATAATGAAAGAATGCAGTGATTTTTTTTTTTTTAACACATCTGAAATCATTGTTCTGCTGGAAATGAAAATAAAGAGCATTAGAAAACTCTTGCACAAATTCTGTAGTTCTGAACTTTCTAATTTTAGCTACCACTGAAATGCTTGTGTGACGGTTTTCAGTTGAATCCTAATATGTAAAAATATGAAACTTTTTATTACAAACTTTAGTATTTTGCTTTGTCAAAATTGGATCACTCCAAGATAGAACTGTGTAAGCTCAACCTCAAAATAAATAGGAAAAAAGAAAACCTATACTTTGCTTACCATATGTTAGGTACCTAATCTCCCTTGCATGCGAGTACAGGGCACTCTTAACTAGATCATTTTCCAGAATCACAGTGTGGAGCTTTCATTTTCTTAAATGCACTAATCCAGACTAGTGTTTACTTGGACTTATCTTGTGCTTATTTGTCATAATTCTTTCTGCTGCCAACGTGTTTGTTTTCTTGTATCAGATTGTGAGTGGGTAGTGAGAAGTCCTTTCCAAAAAGTAGCCAGGAATCTGATCCTAAATTAGCCATTATTTAATAATAACTTCTGGGTTTTTTTTTTTTTTTTGAAGTTAATGCTGTCTCCAGAGAATGTCATACTCTTGAGTGATGGAAACCTTCAAATACATGTCTGAATATTGCTTTTCAGATATTCTTTTTCAGTGGCATTATGTTACTTGCTTATGTTTGCAAAAGCAGGTCATAAGTCTTTTGATTTGCCATGTTTCATCTTATTTATAAAATTATGTTGTGGAGTGTGTAGGGGGAAGGGTTAGTGTGATGGATTATGTGAACTTGGGGTACTTGCTGAAGCTATTGTTATAAATGATTTATAACAGAATAAGAGGTATTTATTTGCATGGGCTTTTGTCTTTCACGTTCATTTTCTTTCTTTGCTTGTGTGCATGTTTTCTGTGTCCTTAAGGGGCAGAGGAGGGCTGTGGGAAAACCATAGAAATCAGCAGCACCTGAGTTGTGCTAGAAAGTATAGGGCTCTAATAGAAGCTTTAATAACTGGGTGGGGAGGAGAGGTTGAGATATTTTACATTATGACTAAAAGCTTTGTCCCTTATGGCTAAATCCATTGTCCTTTCCAAAGCTCCTGGTTTTATTTATTTATTTATTTTTTTCAGTTCTGTCACTGTTGTTCTCTGCCTTGAGAGAATTTTCAGTTCAGTTCTTTAATTCAGCTTGAAGGGGATGAATGACCTGGCACCTTCCTGGGGCTTGAATATGTTACATCCACAGTTTTTTCCAGTTTCTGAAAGTATTTATTTTGTATTTTAAAATGTTGCAGGGTATTTCAATGGTCAATGATGTAAGTTTTTAAAATTTATTTTTTATTATTGTAGGCATTGGATCAAGACAGGACTGCACTGCAGAAAGTGAAAAAATCTGTGAAAGCAATATATAGTTCAGGACAAGGTAAGGCTTTGTTTCCAGATTTACATGAGAACCTAAGCACCTGAATACGAGTTAGAAAAATCTGCTTTGCAATTTACCTTGTTCAGGTGTATAGAATAAGAGATGCTTATCTGTAAAGTAGTATTTTGAGATTCAACATTTTAAAATCTTTTTTTTTTTTTTGGCTCCTGGTTTTGTGTGGAAATAACATGTTCTCTGACTCTTTCACCCTCCTCCGTTTCCACCTGGACACCTTCTAGTCAGCTGGATGTAAATATTTGATTAGAAAAATGCAGTCCCTRTTCCCCAGCAATTTTAATCTGTTAAGCACTTCTTCCTTCCTTAGAACAATTTCTTAGTAGCCTTTATTTGGAAAGAAGGTTGTTTCTGTGATGTTTGTTTTGTCCTGTTAACTTGTGTTTTTAGAGGGTCTTTTTTATGTGCTACAGATTCTTTTTGCTTCTGCCAGTCGCTAGCTGTGTTGTTCCACTAGCACCATAACCTCTTCCAAAACTTCAATTGATGACTAGTGTTTTCTCAATAAATTATGAAGCTAGATTGCAAAGTAAGGATAACACTTGGTAAATGTTTATTTAGTTTTACACTATTTTTGAGTTATTGAGATGCTCTAAACAGCAATTTCTATTTGGAAGTACTTTCTTACCTAATTTCAGAACCAATAAAAATCTTAAAACGTTTGAACAGCTTTCTGTCTGTTCTGAAATACATGAATAACTCCAGAGGTTATAATTACCCACTGACCTGCGTTTTGTGATAAAACTAGTTGAGAGAACTTCAAAGCCTGTCCCTAGTTTTGAAAGCCCTATGCAATCCATATTAGCTTATGAGCTGTTTACATTGAGTGAAAGGCACTAGAAGGTTGCTTACTCATTTTAAATGGCTCCCATGGCATTTTAAGACAGATTACATAAAAACGGGCAGCTGTTTTCAGTGGTCTCCTTTGCTTTTGAAGTATTCTTTTTATTAAAGACTCAAGCTAGTCTAAACTTTTGAATAAAGAGAGCATTACAGGTAATACTCTGGCTCCCTCTTCAGAATGTTATTGTGATAGACTATGGTATAATTTGAAGGACATGCACAGGAAGCAATTTGTACAGTAATTAATAAATATAATTAGTAATTAATAAACATAATTTTTGCCTCCTTCTCACATCTGTCATTAAAAATATAGAAACAGCTCATCTTGTTTTGATTTTCTTTCCCTACCAATATATTCTAAAAAGGAAAGTATTGGTGATGAAATCCACTGTAACTTACAAATTATCACCTCTCTTTTGCTTTCTCATGTCTGCTTATTTATCTCGCTTGTTATTTATTTCTGTAATGATGAGATTTCATTTGTAGGTCGGAACCTCTCCCGTGGGAACGATGCTTGCACTTAATGGAGTGTCCAATCTAACTAGCTTTCATGTAACATTTGGAGTCGTTTGTAATGGCAACAGATTTCACAATTAGTTTTCAGCTTTTCAGTAGTCATTTTTTGTTGGTGTGATTTCCAGATACAATCAAAAGAGACAACGCAGTAGTGAAATAAAAATTTTAAAAAAAAATCAATGGAAAGAATCAATGCAGTAGTGAAATAAAAAGTAAAAAAAATCAATAGAAGACCAGAGATGAAGACCAGAGACATTGGGCAAGACCAGCAGTCCATGTGGTGTCCCACAGTGTTCAGGAGCAGATACTTACAGTAGCATGAGAGCAAAGACAGAATGAGGAAAAGCTCTTACAAAAGAAAACCTTTGTACTTTCTCAGGTTGAAGTGATATGAGGGTCTGGATTTACCTGAGTCAGGTGATGTAATGATGTTTTATCCAATCCATTTGAATTCATATAAACTTTTTTTCCCTCTCCTTAGAAGGGAAAAGAAGGGAGTTGGGGCTAGAGGGATCAGAACTGCCTTCAGTATTCAGAGTTTAGACACARCATCGTGATATTGTCTATTGCATCCTGTATTTCTTTTTTAATCATTTTTAATATTCAACTCTATTTTATTTGCTTCCTATTGAATGTTGAGGTGATATGTTGCAACTCAGGATCTTTCTTAATAATAGCTAATTCACAGTCATTCCTTAAAATTAAGAGCATTTTCCCTGTGTTATGCTGCCTGAAGCACATTTTTATGCTTCATCCATTCACAATGGGACGTTTCATTTGACTTCGGAGCTACCTAGATGTAAACTTGTTGYGATAGACTTGGCCATCAGTGTCATCAGACAATCAGTGCATCTAGTAGAGACTTCTAGGGTGAAATGTATCTGGTCCTGTACGGTTGAGCTGTGACTTCTTCTAACCTGAATGTTAGGGAAATGATGAGACGCTAAGTTCAAATGTAGATATCATCAGTGTAGACCTCTGCATGAGGACAGTCTAATCTCACCTTCATAGTCAGTTTTTATTTGTTATTCTCCTGAATAACGTAGTGATTTTGATTTTCTTCATAAAATATTAGTATTGTTCTCTAACTGACATATATGCTGTTAAGCTATGTGGGCCTTGCCACAGTTCCATACAGGACTTCACAGGTGACCTCCCTCTAAGGAAAGCCAAGTGCTTATTTCTTCCTTCCTCCTGACCCCATTTTTTGATGAGTTATTTGTTTAGGTGAGGCTGATCCTTGTTAAACTTTGTTTACTTAGTTCCTTATACTGATTTGGTTGGGAGAGACTTGTTCGACTTGAATTTCTCTTGTGTTCCTGCTTGTTGACTCCTTGAAAAAAATGCCTGTACCTTGATCTCAATGACTTGCCACTGTTCATTTAATCAGCTTTTGTCAGTTCTAGCACTCACAGCATATTTAAAATAAAGCTCAGAAACAGCATGACAAGAAATCTTTCATAAGGACTTCTCTGAGCACATTAGCAATGAACTTGGATGGAAAAGAAGTCATATTTTGCTATTGCTCGTCTGTTCTAAATGTTCTTACATTTCAATGAGCTAGAGAACCCACAGACTTACGAGGAGGCTCTTTGCGCTAGAAAAGTTCAAAGGAGTTTTTATACCTACTTTTGTCTTCAGCAACCTGGGCCTGGAAGGCTTTATTGTCAAGTCAGGAGACAAGTGGGATGGTCAAAGTCTGCTCTCTTTAATCTTTTCTATTAGACTTTTAGACTTAAGCTTTTTGAAAAATATTTTCTTACATTAGGTAACCTCTGTCCTTTTCAACCTTGCCAACTTCCTTGCCGGTTTAAAAGTCTTATTAATCCTTTATTATTATTTATTTATTTATTTATTTAATTCAAGGAGTGATTCTTAACTATGCAATCTTCAGGTTTATTTGAGTGCAATTTGAGGATCATCGGTTGACAGGAAAGYGGTGTGCTTGCGCACTGCTCTTTTGAAGGCCACTTGCTTGATGGCCTTTTTCTGCTCTTCAGAGTTGGAGGGGATCATGTCTGATCAAGAATGTTCTAGATAAAGGAAAACTAAGGTTTCAGTTTTAGTGATCTGCTTTCTTGTTGCACTGCGTACAGGTTTTCCTTCTACATGGTTTATCAGGACCACTGTGACCCCTCTCTTCTTGCCTTTACGAGGTCCTGGCTTCCCTGACAGATCAGCCTAGGGGAGGGAAGGATTGAGGAGGCCCCTCTATCCCTACACACACCTGCCCYAAGGGGAGCTCCCCCCGTCAATGGGACCGTGACACATCCAGTAATGTCTGTAATTCTGGGACGCCTCAAGGAGCTGCTCGAGGAGGAGGATGCCTGTCTGGGGAAGCTGCTCCATTTTCATCACAATATTGAGCTTTGTTTATAATATCGAGAAGACACGAGCCAGCTCTGGGCAGAAACCACTACTCTTTCTTTATACTGCTGTCCATGTGTCTCTCCAGGGTTATTGAGGTCCTTCCTGCAGTAACTGTATCCAAGGAAGGAACCATCAAGCCAGGCACRTTATTGCTTTCTTCATCTGGAGGGGATTTGATTAGAGCCCTGGGAAGTCGTCTCTGTGGCAGCGTTGGGCAGCGACGTTAAACGTGCTCTTGGCTCTAGGCACGCGGCATTTCATAGGCTGTATTTTAGCACTGACTTTACTATTCATTTACATGCTTTTAAGGTCAAGTAATGAAATCGCAATTCATGAAGAGGAACTCTTAATATTTTTATTCTTTTTACAAGATTTATGTAGATACGTAACAATTGAATCTTTAGGTGCTACTCTTGAATTTCATATGTATTTACTTGGTACTTACAGAGTTACTCCTTTTACTTTTTAACTGAAGAGTTTCATGTCTAGGTTTTAGGTGATTTATGATCTGGAATTCCTGAGCATTTCCTATACATTGTTCTAGGATAATGATTTGCTTCCTGCTTCCATTTGCTTTTATCTTTCTACAGACACAGGAAATATTCTTGCTTGAATCTTTTTCCATCTGTTTTGAAAAAAAATATTTTGAAGCATCTCTGCTTTTCAAGTAGCAAAACAAGAAAGACCTTAAAATCAAAATACTAGGAAATATTTTGGAGATGAAAGTGCTTCCTGGCAAGAAGAAGGATTTCATGACCTATTAGATTTTCTTCATTTTCAGSCTTGTTGAGTTATCCTTCCTTTTCCCTCAGAACAGTAGGGTACATTTGAGCTTTATTAGCTCAGGAGTGTGCAAGCCAAGGCTCCCTCTTAGCTTAGTCTTCCCTGTATATTTGTGCAACAGCTTTTATATCAAAACAAACTCCACATTTTATTATTATATCTTGATTTCTTGCTTTTAATATTAAGCTATTTGATTAAAAACATATGCTCATGGAACAATTCTACTCTTATTAAAAACATACTATTGAAGTTAGAGTTCCATATTAACATATAATTAATTTTGGGCTTTGAAAAGCTCTGTGGAATTTCTGATGTTACATTGTGACTTGTCAAATGTTAGGGGCTGTTTTAGTTAGTTAAGCGTTAGGAGTTTTTTAATCTTCTAATAGGATTTTAAGACTTTTTTTATTTCTTTTGAGCTTTAAGTCAGTTTTGATTTGGGCATCCTTTCTCTTCTAGAAGCATTCTTGTGTAATTCCTAATCAGCTCAAGGTTTTTGTCCAGGCACCTTTGTGCATTGCAGGACATTAATAAGTTGTTTGTAATTTATGTTAAATATGGGGTTAATATTTAAAAAAAAAAAAAAAAAAAAAAAAAAGTCCTTTGAGAGATGAAGGTGATAAAGGCCGTTTCAAAGGGCTGTACTAGCAGATTTCCTATGGAAAGGAACCAAAATGGGAGATGGAAATAAAAATATGCAAAGAGATGCCTGAAATGAGGGGAAAAGCATTTCAGACAATCTACAATTCAGAATTTCCTTTGCCTTTAAGATATTTGTGCATTTCTATCTGTTTCAGTTTACTTTCTTGGCTCTGATGCTCAGGACTTTTGATTTGCTATCAAGTATATGGAAATTAAAGCAAGTCTTTGGCTATATAACAGTGCACATTTTGTTTAGTGGAGGGTAATTCAATTTTAAGGATGATGTGAAAACAAATTCTTTTACTGTAAGAACATTTTCTTCATTTAAACTTAATCTGATTCAGATTTGTTCCCCGTGGTTTTATTTTGATGACATTGACATTATTATTTGTTCTGTATATGTGTATTGCCTTAATAGCAATAAATATTAAATCAAAATAGATTATTATAAATTTGAATGTTTATAAGATGAGGCAGATGTATTTAAATATTTTTTCAGTTGACCTTACTTTGATATTATTGCTTTATTGATCATTACTGAGCTTTTGTATTGATATTAATGTACAATAATGTTGAACATTCAATAATGTTAAGTCGCTTGCAAGTGATTTAGAAGAAATATAAGTCTATATGTGGAATAGTCCTTTTTAATACTAAAATATTTCAACCAATTTTAAGTATATATGTTTATTTGTGTGTTTATTGAAATAATTGTTTGCAAATTGGCATCTTACTATATTGCAATACACGTTTGAGCGAGATTAAAGTAATAATTGAATTTCTACTAGACAGTCTTCTGATTTTTAATGTCTCCCTTTGCAGATCATGTTCAAAATGAAGAAAACTATGCACAAGTGCTGGATAAATTTGGAAGTAATTTTTTAAGTCGGGATAACCCAGATCTTGGCACAGCTTTTGTCAAGTTTTCCACACTTACTAAAGAATTATCAACGCTGCTGAAGAACCTGGTAAGGAAGTTCAAATTTACTTATTTAAAAAAAAAAAAAAAAAAACTCAAAATCAAGTACAGTAGAATAACATCGCATTGCAGATGACTTGGGCAGTGATTTTAGAGGTGATTACATTTAGTTTCTTAGAAATAGAAACCTGCTATGAAGTTTATCTCTAAATATTGCTATTATGCACATATTCTTTGTATTTTTTTGATTGGTTTTGTTTATTTGCTGACATGTAAGAGTTAAGTTGAGAATGATGCCTCAGTTTACATTTCTAAGTAGCTGAAGGTGCTCTGTGCATCTCTTTAGGAAACTTAATTTTAAATCATTCCCTGACATCATGTCTCTCCAGTTAAAATCCACTACCATTAGTTCCTGTTTTCTTTGCTCACTTTTGAAGTAGGAAAAATTACTTATTTAGGGCGTATGCTTAAATTCTGTTCATAGTGTGCGTTCCCCGTGGTCTGCAAGGCATCTGTTGTTAAGCATCTCTGAAGATTAAAGCCTTTGCTCAGTTTAAAGCCTTTCTCATTTAAAGTTTACTTTAAGCCTTTTACTTCTGAGAATGCAGTCATAGCAAATAGATCTTTGATCACTGAAATTAATCAAGCTACATTTTCTTRTGAATTCATATTTTGTGGTTTGCATTGGCATTTTCAGAAGGTTGAAGATCCAGATTTATGCTGTTTTCTTATAGCTGGGCGTAAYTCTGGGGTTCTTGCTCTGTAAGGTATAAGAACATGGTGCACTGCAGGCTTTCAGCTCCAACATTGGTGGGGTTTTTCCTTGCATCCTGCTGCCTTTCTCAAGGAACTAGGCAGAAGGAAATGGTCTTCGAGAGATTTTTCCTTACATTAAATAAAGTATATGGTAGCCTGGAATGCCAGAAAACTTCTGAGTCTCAAAAGTCACCTCCTATTCATCATCAATTTCATATTCACCACCAGCTGAAGTTAAGCATGTTTTGCCTGGTTCCTTAGTCCTTGCTTTCATAACACACTGAGATAAAATGAATAATTGATGATTCTGTTTTTGGGGTTTTTTTTAGCATAAAAATAAGGTATATTACAGTAAAATCATAGTGACTGCTATAGACAACATATATATTTATCCCTGTATAAGTAATGGAATTTGCAGCATTAGAAATTCATAGTTTGTTGTTTTCTTCAGTGTAATTAAACGGAAAGCTTTTTATTATTCTTTAACTGTATTGATTGTGTAATTAGATCAGAAGCATTTCAACTTTCTGTCCTGTGCACAGCATCAATGTGTAGCTTGACCTTTTCAAGACAGGCATTTTCCAAGTGTGTTAAAGCTGTACACTTAAGATTCAATTAGGTGATGTACAACTTCTCTTTGGAGATTAAAAATATATATTGTGTATATCTTCATATATAATTGTTCAACAGGGACTTTGTTTATCTCTACATACTGGGCACTATGTTTTTCTCAAATATTTTAAATATTCAGAAGCTTTTGGCTTAATTCCCTTTGCTTTTTAAATATGCATTGTGTATTTAAATAGAAATGTTGTCTCTGTGTGTTATGCATTTATATGGGAGGGAAAAAAGTAATGCAACACTTTTAACTACTCTCAATTTTTTAAATGATTGCGATGAAAAAGGCTTTTTCAGTTGTAATATTAGTAATCTTACACAGCCTCCCAAAGAAACCTTAAACCAAGGCTTCAAGCAGATGTGTATTTTAGCACCTTAACTCTGTATTCTACTCTGTTCTTCCATTATTTTATGGGTCAGGCAGAGTCTTTGGCTGTAAGATACGATGGGCCCACATGAACATGGCTTTTCATGCTGGGTTTTTTGCACCCATAATAACACACAAAATAGGATGTCACCTCGTTCCTTGGGAAGCTGTTAATTGCTGCCTTGTGAGTGTTGCCCCTTCTGCATCCCCTATTTAGCTATCCAGGGACCATCACACTTACCCTCATGAAGCTTGCTCTTCCTTCGAGGCCTATTACGTGGTTCATCCAAAATTTGCTTGTTATTCAGGGCCATTTTGGACTCCTTTATTCTTACTTTTAGCACACAGTTAAAAAAAAAAAATCAATATTTTGAAGTATGTTAAACTTGAAAGACAATTTGAGGCTAGAACCAGTTTTTTGGAAGCTTTATGTTGGATCACAGTATTTCATACAGTGCTTGGGCAAGATTATTTAATTACTACTTTTTCCTAGCAAATGAGAATAATTTTTTTAAGTATTAGTTATTGAGACAAAAAGACTTTTTTAGCTTAAACTGCAGTCATTCAAAGCTGCCTTGTACTAGCTCTGCTATTCTGTAGTCCACGAGGCAGATATTTTTTACGGGATTTAAAATATTCCATTACCAGATCTGTTACATTCAACAGCTGCAAATGGACAAGCAAGCTCATTATATCATGTTATCATTAGGTGATAGATGATATCATATATCAATATATGATAATATCTATATTATCAATTATATAGATTTTCAGCATTTTAAAAATACTTACTTTTTACCTGCCTTTTCTGCAAGAAAGATTATTCTGGCTTGTTGACCTATTGTCCTTCTTGAGCATAACTGTTTAATAATACAGTTAAACAGGAAGCAGAAGATGTTTATAATATAAACATAAACATGTACAAAATGTTTATAATACTGCAAAAGAGAGTATCCTTATTGCAGTAAGGGGAAGGGACTACAATAAAAAATGAGTTAAAAAAACAAGTGAGAAGAAGGTATATAGAAGGTATATAATTYCATTGATGAAAACACCACAGCAGATGCTGAGGCTAGTATTAATAAAATTACTTGAAGAAATAGAATTGAGTATTAAGGTGAGTGACAAGTGAATAGGCACTTTTTGCATGGAGCTTATTTTTGCTGGCTAATTTGTAAGTGTACAACAAATTAAGTGAATAGTGTGTGAAGACATAGAGAAGATTAAGAAATAAGGAAATACAAAGTAAGGAAGGAGCTGTAAAGGAACTATGCTGTAGTCGGCCATCATCAATACCAGAGCACTGGCCTACATTTTCAGTAATTTGAGAGTCCCACCATAATCTTTCTCTGTTTTTTACTTTGCTGTTTTAAATTTTCCTTCTTTATGCTTAAAAAGGTGTGTGAAAATCACTGTATGTGCAACTATGTGGATGTCTTCTGAATTGATCTAGCTGATGTCTTGCATGTCATGCACAACGTGACCTTCACCACCAGTCACAATCTGTTCTCTCCATCCTCCCATAAAGATTTTAAGCTAATCTTTGTGGTTGGATTATCTTTCCTTCCCCTGAATTTGTACATTTCCATCCATTTACAGTGGGTTTTGTTTGTTTGGTTGGTTGGTTTTTATTTTTTGTTTTAGTCTAATTCTGAGATTGTTGTGCCCCTTTATCAGACATGTCCACCTCATTTGAGCTATTGATTACACACAATACGTGAAATGGTTTCAGAATCTTCTTGACTAGTCACATACTAGCTGGCTACTGTTGAGTCATTTCAACCCGAACATCAGTGACTCGGTTTGATTGTCTGTAATGGATCAACTTGGACAAAAGAAAAAAAGCTGTAGTTATTTACTGTTGTGCATTCCTACCCCGGTAACTGCTTTGGGTCTACCCAGTGTACATACTGCAAAACAATTTTCTCTCTTTGGTGAACTGGCCTGTAATTAAATTCAGTGAAAATGCCTCCTCTAAATTAACCTGTGAGAAATGAATTTCAGTTAAAGTTGTTAGAATTTCAGTTAAAGTTGTTAAATTGGTTGTTTATGCTGTGAAGAGGGACAAGTAGGACTAAAGCCTTCTGATAGTGTCAGAGCTAAGAGCTTCTGGCATCATCTCTGTTCTTTTTTCAAAGCAGTGCTCCAATGCATAATATCCCTGTGATGATTTTAATGGAAGTAAAGAGAGTATCCTTACTGCAGTAAGGGACTGCAAGCCTGCTGGAGTCAGCTCTTAGTTCCAAAACAGTCCTGGTCCACATGGGAAAGTGGCTAGAAGAAAATACCAGGGAAGTCTGGAGAGGTGGTTGGGCAACTGATGAGCTGAACAAATGGGTGCTGACATGGGGAGACAAGACTGGAGAGTGCTTAGACAATGCACGTGTTGGAGTTCATCTGCTGTGGGGATACAGCAACTGGCTGAGCCAAAGCTACCGAGTATTTCTTGGAGAAATCACAGAGGATCAGCGAGAGCCAGAGACAGAGAAGAAGAGCAGATACTGTGCGAATCTTGTGCCAGTTGTTACGAAATGGGTGAAGATCTGGGAAAAAAAAAAAAAAAGTTTAATTTCCAGAAGGAAGCTATTTGTTGTAGTCAGTTGTGCATGTGTTTTGTGATTTAAATGTCAAAATTGCTGGGGAACAGCCAGGATGGGTTTGCAAAGATTACATGAAAATAACCTCATGTCAAGACTTGAAGTAGGGGATGGCTTTAGATGCTCATACTAACAATRTGCATAGTATCAAGTTTGACTTGTATATAAAGAATTGGCAAGAGAGAAAGTAATTGCAGTATCCTCAAGATATGACCTAGGAGTATAGGTTAATGTACCTGGGCTCATGAACACRTAGCATTTTACTGGCAGGTCAACCTTCTTGCCTGACGCTGCTGCTGTTACCTGACAAATTGGGGGTGTGTGAAGAAGGGCTCATGTTGGGGCAGGTGATAAACAGCATCTTAATGTTAAGGCTGAGTAAAGAATGCTGCATAGTAGAAGGAGACGAAAATATTTAGCTGTAGCTATGAAGAATTGATCAAAATACACAAATTCTTCTTTTTATGATTATGTTCTGAGAAGTTTTGTGAAGTTATATGGTTGGCAACAGCTCAGATGATGTAATCCTGAGAGATGTTGCCTGTATGTCAGACTATACAACTCTATTTTTTACGGGAAATTGTAACAGTAGCTGATGCTGATAATATTGATGTTATACTAGTTTAAAATACTGAAACTGATTAAAAGTAGTAAAGATAACTATGAAAGCTTTGTTGTGTAATCAGTGCTCAAAACTAGTATGAGCTGTTATGAACTCCCAAATAACAGAAATTCTGTTAACACCAACTGAAGGAAAGTAAATTGTTTAGTGGGCAAACCTAACTAGGAGCCTGGGGGTGAATGGCAGCTTTTCTATCAGTGTTAACATTGCCAGTTTACGCTAATAATTCTTATTTATAAAGGTTAATAGATATTAAAAATACCTACCTAAAATCTATTTTAAAAGTCTAGTGTGCAAGTCTAATATTGTGCAAATAAATCATGGTGGATTTGGTGGCAGGACCGAAGAGGATAGTGTTTGTGTGAGGGCACTAGGCAGGAATGATATTCCTACGTAGCCAGGCCTGTGATGGGGAGTTTTTGGGAGCTGGCACTGCACCCACGCCGGCCCCTGTGCCATCCCCAGACTAGATTGTGTCTCCTTGCGCTGGTTGAGGCAAAGCCAAAAATTCTGCAGATGGAAAATTCACCTCTTCTCATGGGCTCAACAGGGTTAGGTTTAAATGGAGGAGTTTCAGCATGTGTCTAACTATGTATGTACTGGACAAGCCAAATTGCATTTTTTATTATATATCTTGAGCAGGGAAGGAGAGGGGAGCCCTTTTTGCTCCTCTTCTTCCTCGATGATGCAGCGTGGGCCGTGCACTCAGTCTGCCTGCAGCACAGCAGCTTCCTCGTCCTTACTCAGAAACCAACACGAAAAATTTACTCCAAAGCCAAAATTGCTTCCTAAATAATTCATATGTTTGCTAAGAGAGACTGAAGGGTTTTAAAATTCATATTTATGTCATGTGTGTATTTTACGGTTAACCATAATTACAGTGTTTCTGTCTGTGGTGCAATGGAGTGTTTATTAGTTCTTCTTAGAATGAATTTACTGTTAATTTAGATTTTTTTGAAGTGGTTGCAGTTTCATTAATGATGATAAAATACTTGTCGGTAGTATGTTTGATAATTTCATAATAATTTTGAATAGTAATGGTATCTTTTTTTTCCTTCTTCCTTTTAGCTCCAGGGTTTAAGCCACAATGTTATTTTCACTTTGGATTCTCTATTAAAAGGAGACTTAAAGGGTGTTAAGGGGGTAAGTGTTGAAAACTAACTATGTTTATGGAAATGTTATTAGTTTCAGCTGTCTTCTGGCTGCTTTCTCTTCACCCGTGAGATTATTTCTAACTTTGGTATCCATTAATATTTCTGTATCTAGTCCAAAGAATAAATTTAAAATTGGCATGAGTACAATTTCAGTTGCTTCTTTGAAATTCTGTAATAAATCTCTATCTTAAGAAGTATTGGAAAGCACTACTTTACAAAAAAAAAAGATTTTTTTTAATGCTGTTTGAATTTTTTAAGGGAAAACTTTAAAAAGAGTTATGCATGACTTGAAGTGATATTTTAAAGACAATATTAAATATATTTCAAGCAAATTTTCTGTTTCTCAAGGACCTTAAAAAGCCTTTTGACAAAGCCTGGAAGGATTATGAAACCAAATTGTAAGTATTTTTTTCCCTCTCTCTCTGCTTTTGATAACTCATAAAAAGAGTGTACTTTTCAATGTGACTTAACGCGCTTCTGTTTCTGAATCTTAAATTTTGAAAGTGAGTCAGAATTTATGTGTCAAGTCAGTAATACTGTGCTCCTCTGTGCAATTTCTAGGGATACAGCTGCGAATATAAAGCAAGATTTATCTATTTATTTATTTATTTATTTTTGTTGTTACAGTGTTAAAATGTTTTTACTGCACTAACACATATAAAAGATTTTTGTGTTCTGGGAACTGGTTAAGTAGAGCAACAAATGATTAAGGGACTGGAACATCTATCATGTGAGGAAAGACTGAGTTAGGACTGTTTAGCCTAGATAGAGAGGAGATCTGGTCAATATGTACAAATATCTGAGGGGAGAATGTAGGGAGGATGAGGCCAAACTCTTGTTGGTGGTGGCCAGTGACAAGGGGTAATAGGTTTAAGTTGAAACACTGGAAGTTCCATCCACATGTGAGGAAGAACTTCTTCACTGTGAGGTTGACCAGAGCCCTGGCACAGGCTGCCCAGGGAGGCTGTGGAGTCTCCTTCTCTGGAGATCTTCCAAACCCGCCTGGATGCCGCCCTGTGCGCCGTGCTCTGGGTGTCCCTGCTGGAGCAGGAGGGTTGGACTAGATGATCTCTAGATCTGGATGAGGTCCCTTCCAACCTCAGCCGTTCTCTGATTCTGTGAAGTACCTGCCTAATGTTGCTTTTGGTGTAAGGAAGATGCTTAATGCTGAAACATTAGTAGTTTAATAGTTTAAAGAGGTGATTTACATGTTCTGTATTGAGAACTGTGTATTTTTGAGAGGGAAATATTTTCATGCAGTTGATGATGTTTTCAAAACATTCATAAAAAAAATGCTTTCTTCCACTGTGCTCTTGAGAGAATGATGATTTTTAAGAAGAGTAAGTTGGAAATAAACATTAATAGAATTCTTATTTTTCAGAAGGGTTGGTGAAATGGTTCATTTCACCATGAAGCAGGTGCAGCTGCTTCATCAGAATTTGGGAGTTCTTGGGAGTCCATTCCTGTGTCTTTTGTGTCCTTTCTTGTGTTCCTCTTCTCAAGCAGTTTATCTGCTTTGCCTCGTTTAGGTCTAACCCAACCAAAAGAGCAAAAGAACAAGCCAGACCAATAAGAACTCTTCAGGCATATGGTTTATCAGCAGTTTCCTTGCTARTGCGCAGTAACTTCGATCATCCCATCTCATTAAGATATTAAATTGTTGTAAACTCAATTGGAAAAGAGTTCATTACTAATCTAAAGCACACACACCCCTTCCCAAAATGACAGCATCTTAATTGGATATTCRGTGAGATTTATATGCAACTATACAGACAAGAATTTTTTACAGACAAGAATTTTTCTTGTCTGTATAGTTGTACAGAYGCTTCATATTCTTGTGCAAGTTTATTCTAAAGACAGCAAATCAGTGGAAATAGGCCCTTTTTTCAGGGATACTAAATGGATCAAACAAGGTCTAGATTTTGAAAGGCAGAAAATAGTAAGCAGAATAATTCTTTCGTTTTTTCTTACAAGAAACACCAGAGTAATAAGCACACTTGAGGGTGCTGTCTTGTGTCCTAAAGAAATGAAAGTTTGGTTTAACAGCTTTTTAAGAAAGCTGGAGAGTTGAGAGGCTATTCTATGTGTGTGTGTGTGTGTGTGTGTGTATACATATATATATATATATATTTATATATTATATATATTATATTATATATATATATATATTTCCAACAAGAAATCTGAAAAAAAGTAATTTTCTTTTTTTCTCTCTTGTGTTGGAAACCTAAATGGCAAATCCAGTTAGTCTATATTAGACCACTCAGAACCGCACTCTGCAAAGCTCTAACTGAGAGTCTCAGGGTAACTTTTTAATTCCGTATTTTTRTTTTACTGTGTTAAGCAAAAACTTTTAATGTTTGCTTTCCATGTAAGTGTAATGACTGGAAAATGTAGCATTTAGTACATGTGTTAATATGTTTAATACGTGTATTAAACTTAATGTGCTGCCTTGTTACTTGTTTTAATTCCTGCATAATGAGGCGTGAAATTTGTTTGTTTAGGATATTCTGATGTTTTCTTGCAGAGTTTAGTTTCTTAGTGTGTTTGTTTTACATTGCAGTAGTATATAGAGATAGGACCTGTATGATAGAACACATCAAACAGAAGAGATGGCACCTTCTTTTCTTCCAAGTAGCATGCAAAGTAGAGAAAAGATGTAAAGAGATGCAGGAAAGGAAGGGAGAAACTTCTTGGCTCTATTACTTCTGGGCACTTGGAAGAAGAAAGAAAACAAAACAGTAGTATTTTGGGAGAACTCATCTTCAAAATGACTTCTTAAATACTGTACTTTTTTTTCTTTTGTGAGAATGTATCTTACTAATCTTAAATTTATCCTAATTGAAACTTCAGTACAAAAATTGAAAAGGAGAAACGAGAACATGCAAAACAGCACGGGATGATACGAACAGAGATAACAGGAGCTGAGATAGCAGAAGAGATGGAGAAGGAAAGGAGGCTTTTTCAGCTGCAGATGTGTGAAGTAAGAAACAAGTTTCAGCTTTTGTTTATGACCTGGTAACTTAGAAGTGCCCCGTGGGTTTGTCTTGAAGGTGGTGACAAAATCTTTTCTGTCATGTAATGGGGTTGAGGGGAGGAAACCATTTCCTTGCCACATAATAGAACGTTATTAAGATATTTGTTTTAACAACTCTATTTAAACTTGGATTCCTCTTATTTTACTCCGTTTGTTTATTTTGGGGTTATTAAACTAAGGTTCTTAGCTGAAAATAAACCATGGTAGTATTTATTTTTCAGATGTACAATGCAGTGCTTCAGGAAGACTATTTTGATTATGTTTTTCCAATACACTTTCTGAAGCCTTCTACAAAATTCCTAATCAGTTGATAAATGATGATGATGCATTATTTCTACAACAACCACTTTTTACATTAGTAATTGTCTGTTTTGCATGTAACAGAAATTTCTTTAAAGTGCACAGTACTTTTGTTTGTGAAAGATTACAATATTTACAGCATTAAAGTGATGTTTKAATACAGTTTAGAAGATTTTTGTCTGCATTTTTTCTGTTTGTTTTAGGATAATTTGATTTTTTTAAAATTTTCTTCTTAATGAATGACCAAAACCTGACCTGTCTATATTTTGCTTTACTATGATGGACTGATGATTTGCGTACACCYAGTTAAATATAGGGATAGTTACTCCATTGAACAAATGTCTTTTTTATTGGAAAATAATTGAAGAATGTAACGCATGTTTATTAACATTTTTCATTTTTTGTACAGTATCTTATTAAGGTTAATGAAATCAAGACAAAAAAAGGTGTGGACCTTCTGCAGAATCTTATTAAGTATTATCATGCCCAATGCAAGTAAGTGTAACATTTTTGAACTTGAGTACAATATTTCTTTTGCAAGATTWTTTTTTTTCAATGTAATCAGGTATTTTCATAATGAGGAAATGTAGTCTGTTAAATGTCTCAAACATAGTATTTCAGTACAGAGTACAAATACAATTGGGAGAGGGAGCTGGAGGAAAAGAGGTCAAAGAATGTTGCCTAGCAAGTTAATTTTAGTTCCTGAAGTCTAGAATATAATTTCAGAAATAGCTTGTTTATTCTTTGTAATAGTCTCTTATGTAAATCTTCAAGCCATGTGAAAGCAAGTGATTCCTTTGAAATTCATGAGGTAAAACTGTCAAGCTGTGAACTTTTTTGTCGATAGAAAAAAGGCAAACATGCAGGAACTTTCATTTAATATAAGCTAAATACAAGAAAAAGATTTTAGAAATTGCTATAGGGAAACATATTGTCTAATAGTAATCAAAATAAACCAGGTAATATTCTCTCTAAGTTGRTGTTTATGAAGGTCACAATACTGATTCTTCATTATTGGAAGATGTCCTACTTTAAAACCACTGGGAAGGGTAATGTCTTTTATTAAACTACTAATTAATGAATTCAGTGGTGTGACTAATTTGGGTATAAAATATTTGTAACATTTTGTAAGGTTTGCGCCTTTCTTTAAAGTATTGAATGCCTGATGTGCATTAGTTCTTCTGTTCCYCACATCCTAATGTGAGCTACTGGCCATATAACACATTTGAGTCATTATATTTTTATTTAGTAAGACACATTCAACAGGGCAAATCATTTCAGACCTCTTTCTAATATCTTGGTATTAGAGGACAGCAGAAGCTGTGCTGTTCTGTGGTTAGGTTGATAATAAAACTGTTCAAAGTGGCACAAGGATTGATTGTTTTAGAAAATAGGAGGAGTTGGATAAGCTTGCAAGAAAAGGAGGAAAAAAGAGAGACTTGTGTTATAAACTGTATATGTTTTGGATTGTTCCTGATAAATCACAGGTATTTTTCATTACAGTTTCTTCCAAGATGGCTTGAAAACAGCTGATAAACTTAAACAATACATTGAAAAGTTGGCTGCTGATTTGTATAATGTAAGTTACTTGTAAGTAGTTCACTGTCTGAATGTGGAAATGTTTTTTGTTTTCTTATGAGTTTAGTTTAGATGACTAAAAATGCACATTTTATACTTGTATTTTAGACATAAGTGTGATCTTTGAAGCTTTAAATACAACTAGAGTGAAGAAAAACATAAAAAAATATCCTGGCTTATCTTAAAGTTTACATTCGATAGTTATAGTTATCATTAGAGAAAAATGGCAAAACAGCTTTTTATTATTAATGTTTCATTAATAATAAACTCAATTTAAAATGGAAGCATTTCAATTGGATCACATTATTGCCACCAATTTTAGCTACCTTAGCTTCTCTTTTTTTTTTTTTTTTTTTTTTTTTTTCCCCTCACTAACAAACAGCTTGGAGTTAGTGCCATCATTTTGAGTACATTAACTTTCCAGTGTTGTTCATGGAAGGCAAGTAATAATGAGAAACCAGAGCTTGTTTGTCACCTAAATGCTTTTTAATTTTATAATCAGAGTGCAGTAAGCCCATTTGCTATTACAGTTTGTGGATAAACTGAACTATATTTTCATTCCTCAATTTAAAAGCAATCTGTCAGGCTTACTGGAGTTACTTAATTATTTGTTCAAACAGTTGCATGAGATGTAATGAACCATTAAAGTGTAAAAGAACAGGGCATGTGGAGTTGTATATTCATGTTTTGCTTGCTTTTGAACTAATACTTGTGGAGAGGGATAATATCTTAGAATGAGCATATCCATGGACAAAAAAAAAACAAAATATAACTGAAGATGGAAAGAACCTCTGATGATCGTCTAGTTCAGTCACCCTGGTAACCAACAGCAGGTTATAATCAGGTTATTAATATCCKGATTGTTCTATATCAGGACATAGGATATATTGGAATGCATAAAATTTGGAATAAATGGTGTGCCTATAATGGCAATCTCTTTCCATAGATAAAGCAGACCCAAGATGAAGAAAAAAAACAACTTACTGCTCTCCGCGATTTGATAAAATCATCTCTGCAGCTTGACCAGAAAGAGGTAAATAGTTTAGACATGTTATTTGCAGGTAGAATGTGAATTTATGCAGATTGTGAAATCAGAAATATGCTTAGTTCATATAGATATAGTTATTCTTCAGAAGAGTTGTCGTATATAGGGACATTCAACATATATAGTAAATAGAGCGTATGTAGTGAACACAGCATTCAACCAAACTAATGTGTAGAATATCAAACTGCATATCAGTGAACAAAGATTTTAGGTTATTTTTACATTTCTATTTAATACATATAAAGAGAARTATTTCTTTCATGAAAGAGAACAATGATAAATCATGATAGTATTTCTGTGCAATTTTATAATTGAAAAAGTTCAGAAAAACACAAAAGCAGTCATTATAGGTCAGATAAATGCTTCTTCATTTCCAATACTTAAGAAAAAATATAAAGTCAGGGGATATATCCTCCAGCAAGGCTGTGCTCAGTCTTCCAGAGCCAGGTGATGCTGGGAAGGTCAGAGTGAGAAGTGCAGACTTGCTTTTACCTATGTTTTTCCATGTTGTTGTTCATCTGCCCCACACGGATTCTGTGATGATGTATTTCTTCCCATTCTCTTTCTGTTGATGTCCTATATTAATGAAGATGATGAAAACTACTCTTCAGCACTTATGCATTTATTCAGTAAAAAATATACCAAAAAGACCTCCCACCAACTTCTCCTATTTTGGAATGTTGTCCTACCAGTGACACATTAAACYATTTTTTATTCTCTACATTTCCAAGTTCTCTTCATGCAACTTTCATTTTACTTTTTCATATCATCGAGTCTAGCATTATAATCACTCCAGCTCATTTTGTTAACATACCTATCCTTTTATCAGTGGAAAAAAAACCCAATTACAGTAATCTTCGCAGTTGCCCCATTCTCGGAAAAACTTGTTTTCACAATCTTGCAATCTCAAGTTGTGCAGAGGGCTGGAGCTGGAGCTTGGCTATGGCAGTGTGGTTTATGATGGTTCTGGTAGACGTGGTGTCTCTTCCTGTTCCTACTACACACTCTTGGGATACAGTTACTGCAGTTCTGTAATTTTTGTGCGAGAATTATCTGTTTACATAAAATCACTACACTTGATAGCTTTAGAGATGTATGTTTTTCATGGAGTAGTARTACAATTTTAATAGTAGTAATATAATTTTATTTTGTATGTAAAATACTGTTTATCAAGTTTATAGAAGAGTAAGCTGTAAACCTCTTGGTTTGGGAATTCTTATTAAAGTGATTTGTGAGAGAAATTCAACTGTAGCCGTGCTGCTTCCAACCTCAGGTGCCAGTTTAACAAAGGTACCTTCCTCTAGTTTTACCCAACAGATTTGCTCCAGGATGAAAAATGCTTACAAGAATCCAAACTGAAATAGGAGAGCATAATCTTCAATATGTATTACTTGTGGAAATTTATAAGAAAATGCACTCTGAAAGAGGAAAAAGTTAACCTCACCTTGGGGCATTCTTAGTTGTTTTTATGAAKCCAATATTACCTATGTAAAGCTACTGAAAGAAGTGACTGAAGTGTAAGGTTGCACARAACTTGGTTTTGCAGTTTAATTTTCGTGAACAAAAGTCTCAGTGGGCCTAAGTAAAAAAATTGTTCCTTCTTTCTAATAACACCGTTGGGATGTAGGGCAGCCAGTTGTTCTGTTAAATATGGAGGCTGCATGTTTTATTTAATAAAATAATAATTCTCTTTTTAAATTCTTTGCTTTCTCTCCTCTTTGCTTTTGCCTTTCGTGATCGAAGTCTAGGAGAGTAAGTCAATGTTTTAATGAACTTCTGAGATTTTCTCTGCTGTGCTTATAACATCTTAATCAATTGACTTAACTTAATTCTTTCMTTAAATAAAAAAATCTGCTGACTTGATTGACTAAAACTTACRAACTGTATATATCTTTTTAATTGGATTTCCAAGTAAATGTGACTGTTAGCATTGGTGGGTTTGAGTTTGTGTGTATTTATAAAATGTATCATATATTCACTTTCTTTTTGCAGTTGGAGAGTCTTTTTTTCTTCAATTATAAGATTATGCAATATTAAATATTTATTTAAAGGTCATTATTTTGACATATGTATCTGTATCCATAGCATACTCAGCTCATAATTAAGTTGTGAACACTGGTTAAGTCTTGKTTCAAAGTCAGATGATATAAGAGCAAACTCTCAAATATAAAATATACATAGGAACCTTTTTTTTTCCTGTTAGTATTAGCATGTGAACAGTATTAGCTTATGGGCATAAGCTAAAATAAAACTGTCTTAAAGGTTAGGAAAAATATGCACATGCAAAAGCATTGATGGCATTTTCCCTTTTGTAGGATTCCCAGAGCAGGCAAGGAGGTTATAGCATGCATCAGCTTCAGGGGAATAAAGAATACGGCAGTGAGAAGAAAGGTTATCTTTTAAAGAAGAGTGATGGGTATGTTTTTGGAGGGGATAATACAAAATGAACTATTGCTGTTTCTACATACTGATTTTCATGCACTCTGTGTGCTTAAAGCACATTTTCCTAATGCATGTCTTAAGTATCCGTAACTTCAGAATTTGAATCTGGCCCCACATATGAGATCCATTAATTAATAGTTATAGTAAATATTGAGGACGGACAAGAAGAGCTTGTTTAAAGCTGACCTGTCATAAATCTCTCAGTTGCCTCTGCTTCTTTAAATTTTGCCTGGATTTATTGTTTTCTCAAGCATAATCTATACAAAATATTAGTGGGATTAAAAGAATATTTCAAAATTCATATGTTGTTACTGATTTTGCTTTTCTTTTTCTGTGCAGTTTAAGGAAGGTTTGGCAAAGAAGAAAATGCACTGTTAAAAATGGAATTCTTACCATATCACATGCAACGGTAAGCTACTTTTATATCTTTTAATTAAAATGAAAAACTATCTTTTKCCTTTCCAAGTGATGGGATGGTGTTCATCTGTTATTGAGAGAAGGAAAAAAAATCTTGYAGACTTGTGAGTTTTTCTTAAACTTTGTTTGCCACCCAGCCATTGCTGTTATAGTTCATGACAGCTGATTAAGCACGTAATTATATACAAATATTTACCAGTATTTTGTTAGGAAAATGRAAATCATAAAACTGTTTTTATTCATGAGCATAATCAGAGTACATCTATAAAGCACTTATATTTGCCAAACTTCCAATTTTGGGGGCTTTATGTATTTATGAATTTGACAAGAGGGATGAATGTGTTAATATTTGTCCTGCCAAACCTCTTGACAAGATAGGAAATAAAGTGGTAGGTTTTATTTTTTCTTTGTATTTGGTTTGTAATTTTTTATGTCAATAGTTTTTTGAAGCTCAGTTCAGAAACTGGCACGTCTTGTGTTCAGATAGCAGCTGTCAGCCCTGTTGACTTTCATCTGGTATCTCTACAGCTTTTCATTAAACCTGTATAACCAAAATCCTTTTAAGACTTGTTTAGTTGTCATGGCTTAAGCAACCGAATTATGGCAGATAATTTTGGAGGTTGTATTTACTCTAAACTCTGATAAACTCCAAAGCTCCAGCTCCTCAGTGTGTTGTGTTGAACGTTCATAGGATTTGTGCCCTTTCAGAACAAACGCATATAAATCTCATTCATTGCAAGCATAACACATGCCAATGAACTGAGAAAGTAGCTAAAAAGAAGTGCTATATCCTCAATTATTGTGTCTGCTTTGCTGCTTTTCCTTTTTTTTTTTTTTTTTTTTTTTTTTTTTCCCCTGCTGCTCTATTTCTATTGCCTTTGCTTGCTTTCTTCTGCCGGTCTCTGCTACTATGTGTATTTTTGGCAATAATTTTATAATGTTTGACATACCATAAAATAGTAAATTACAGACTTACATGCAGCTTGGTTAGGTATAAACATTCAGAAAAGTTTTCAAAGTGACAGATCTCAATTATGTTAATGTTTCTCAGGGAAAAAAAATACTGGTACTATATAGTTCAGTGCTTTCTAATGCAAAACCATATGTTAGAAATTAATAAGGTGACAAAATAATAAAATAAATTGCTTATATGGAATATTTTTTCAAATCAGTATTTGTAGTATCCTTTTGCTTGTGAACTTTTAGATTTCTATTTTTGATWTTTTTAAATGGGAGGAAAATTAGAATATGGGCATTCTGTAATTAAAAAAATAGCAAAAGTAATAGTTTTACCATTGTTTTTAATATACRGTAAGAAAATTAAGTATTAGTATATAATAAACTAAGGTTTATTCTTTTCATCCTAATGAAGTAGTCAAGAAGAGTTACTGTGAAGTTTCTAGTTTTATTTGAAATCTGTCCATTTGGATAAACTGTCATGTTATACCTGTGTGTGTGTGTGCACATTTTAAATCGGTATCACATGTGCACACACCTCAGAAAGGAGAAACAAGCAAGAGATTTTTAAAGTAAAATAAATGTTGTTTTTTTTTTTAGTCTAACAGGCAACCAGCTAAACTGAATTTACTGACCTGCCAAGTGAAGCCAAATGCTGAAGATAAGAAGTCTTTTGATCTAATTTCACGTATGTAGCAACTTTAGGTTCTTCTTGGTTCAGTTAGATGTTCAGTGATCTGCACAAGACACATAAGCACCATGGGCCAGGAMAGGGAAGAGACCTTTGAGCTCTTCTTGCTTTTTGACATTATCTGCTGTGCTTATTGAGCTGCCTTCTGGTGAGGTGGGGGGTAGTCAAGAAGGTCCTGATTTCTCTTACTTTTATTTCAATAATATGTCCTTCTTAGTATTTAATAGCTTATTGCAAGCAGTTGTTTTGTAAMTAAGTTAATGTTGCAGGTCGATTCATTGCTTCTAATGTCTTTATTTGCCAAATATAAATARCAAAAATTTTGATGTTTTATAATTTGTTACATGTCCAACATAATTTTTTATTTATATATTTATTTCAGATAACAGAACATACCACTTTCAGGCAGAAGATGAACAAGAATACGTAGCGTAAGAATGTTTATGTTTTTAAAGATTTTTTTTTTGTCATTAATKGAGTTCAAGATTGTAAATACCACTGGAAATAGTTTTCTCAACTAAGCGAAAAGTATTGCCTGTTATGTGTTTCTTCTGTTGTTGTGAGTGTATAAATGTAAATGGTCTTGTGTTGCGAAGGCACAAGGCTACGGGGCTCTTTGAAAACTCTTTAATACAAACAAGCAAATAAACCCCTTGCAGTCCCTTCCCCTGCCCACCTTCCCCTCCGAAAATATTAGCCAACCAAAAACAGTTTTGGTTTAAGTGTATGTTGCAGTTACCTTATTCATATGCATTTGCTTGGCATGAAATAGTAGGGCAGCTTGTTAGGGTTCAGATGAAGCATTTTGAAAATCTTCCTAAATCCTCCCTTTCAGTTCTTGCAATTGCTTCTGATCATTCTRCTTTTATCTCCATATTAAAAATAGCAAATGGAATAAGAATGTACACACTACATTTAAAAAAAAAAATCAAAAGGCAATATAGCTTTTCCAGTGTAGGTCCAGAAGTTGGCAACAATMCTTATCTCGGACTTGAGAATCCAATAAGTTGCTTCCTTAATGCCTGTTTCCCACCAGATTGTTTCATTAAAACCAATCTTTCCTCCTGCTAAGTCAGAACTACTTGTCTGGAGATCCACGTTCCGGTTTCTCTCCTGAATGTTGCAGTCTCACCAGCTGTCACGTCTAGGAAAGAAATTGCTGGTGAGAAGTGCAGCGAGGCAACTTCCAGTTGTTTGGCTGGACAGTGTCTTTACGGAGTTGAACTTCATGAACTGAAATGCTTGTAATGTTTATGGGGAAAAAAAAWAGCAACATAATTAAGTGTTCTGTTTTTCCTTTGCAGCTACTGAGTAGCTCCTTAACAGCCTTGTTATATAAGGTGCCATGCAAACATTATACTTTTATTTACAGAATTGTTGGTTTAATGCAGTTCTATAACTCCTCAATTAGCTGTCATCCTCTGGTTCCAGTTTTTTTCACATATGTAAATATGTCTTTTCCTGCTCTTTCTCCACCTGACAACTTTGTATGTTGCCTTTTGTTCTCCTCCATCTTCTTGCTGTCTCTGTTCTGTGCCATTGAGAAATAAGTGCATATTTTCAAGCACTTTTCTACTTAGATGGGAGGCTAGAAAATAAAGCACAATAACATTATTTTACTCTATTCTTAAATTAACTTTCCTTATTTTCTTAGTGATTGTTTTGGACTGATTCCATGAATATTTTAACAAATAGTCTTCCAAGCAAAGCTACTAATAAACAGATTTTTAAAAATAGCTCACATTTGGTTATAAATACATTACTACTTTCTCACCCAAACATTCCCTTAATCCAGTTCATTTCTTGACTGTTATCTGGTGAGTGCTCTGTTGATCTTGAATTACTGTTTCAGTAAAATTCTGAGTTTAAAATCCTCAATAAGTTATTAATTTCTCTAATGGATAAACTACAGTAAGGGGAAAAAGTGTTTTGTGAGTGAGGGGGKGTGTGTGTGTGTATAAATAAATAAATATATATATGTRTATATATATATGAGAGAGATACTTTTGGATCCCTAAAATATATCTTTAACATATAAACTAGTAGATACTTTCTACTTTTTGATGCTGTTGATAGGGTCAGGTAGACAATTTTGAAGCTGAAGAATCTATCCAATTTTTTAAGAAAATATTTTTAAATAAAGCTAAATTAAGCAGTACAAGATAGAGCATCCCATTTAATTGTATTAGATAGAAGTGAAACTTGTTTTGTGCGATCTGAGTAATTCTTAAATTATTTGAAAGAAACACTGCAAATGGAAAAGTTTTTTTTTTTTTTTTTTTGCTTTGTAGATTTTGAAATACAGAAAATATTAGTCACTTTTACCATAGTAAGAAAAAAAGGGCAACAGCAGCAGCAATAAGGCAGTGTTTTATATCTGTTGACATTGAGATAATGCACCATACTTACTGATTGGATTGTTCTGGATTTTTTAAATATACAGCATGCCAGGAAGGACTGGGGGGACTTCTTGCTCGAGTGAGATTAGCCATTAGACTGTATCCCTAATTGCCTTTGGGTTCAGTTGCCCTCAATGATGTCTAGGAAGAGAGGCCACGGCGAGGCCCTTTGCTTTGGCTCTTCCACAGAAAACATCAGTAAAACACAGTCTGAGATTGGGATAATGAAGGAAATTAAACAAAAATATGCTCTTATGGTTTGGTAACTCTTAAAGTGGAAATCTTTTTAAGTTGGCTTAGTTGTGTTGTATTTATTTTGTTTATATCTAATCCTTTCTTAATTGTTTCAGCATACTTGAGTTTTATTCAGCTTCTGACTTCATATTTAAACAAACTAGTTAAACTTTAGCCATGAAACAAATTACCAACTAGTGTCTGAATAAGTATTCATCTGTAACAATTATTTAATTCTGTATTTTTAACAACTTTGCTGTAACATTAGTATCTAAAGATACAGCCTCCTCTTCAATATTCCTGGATTTCATCAGCAAAATTGCAGAAGAATGCCATCTAGTGTGTGTTCAAATATTTATCTTAACTGCTGTGAATACTCCTATGTGTTTATGGACATAGATACATATCTGTATATAACACATTGTTTTCMACATGTAAAACTTCTTTTTTAAACATTGTTTTAAGTTAGCTTTTACTAATCTTTTTTTTTCTTTTGCAAACAATCTTTTAAGTAAAATCCTCAGGTTATTCTCAGTCCATAAAGATTAAAATGTGCATGTACATGAAGTATAAAATATGAAATCCACAAACTGAAGTTATATAAAATACACATATTCAGTCTCTGGACCTGYAATACAAGGTTTTTTTAGGAAATGGCCACTGTAATCCTTTAAAGTTCATGTTTGCTTTGTTATTTCACTGAAGGACTGTGAATTAAAAGTGAAGTTGTATTCTTAATATGTTCATCTGGCTTTAGCTCTTGAGTGCAGGTTTCAAAAGAACATTGAGCAAAGATGACTGTAATACTGTAAGCAGGAAATGRATGGAGGATGTAGCCAATTTAAAATAGTTTTTCTGCCTAAAATATAATTCCTGTAAATTTAATCACATTTAAAAGCACTGTAGTTGAGAGGGCTTTTTTAATTTCTTCTTTTCGTAAATTAAACACTTTGGTTACTTTTTCAATATTCATGTGCTCTGTATAATTGTTTTGCCCTCCCTGCTTTCTTATTTCATGGAACAGCTAGTGAGGGATTTATTTTTAATACATTTTAAACAGTCTTGTGCAATCAAAAACMTGGCAAGGTGACTGAACGGGTGAATCATCACTTTAAACAACATTGAAGGATCCTAATTTGTTGCAGTTGACAGTCAGTGTCATTCCTGCCATCATCTCTGCTCAGACCCCTCATCCTCTTAGCTGGCCCAGCCATTTACATTAGTTTGGGCATAATGCTCTGGCTGCAGCTAGTGCATTGAAGAAGTTGAGGTGTCAGCATATTGAAAAGGTGCTTGCTGTGCTCTCGGTGGAGAGAGGCACGTGGCGGAGGGAGCAGTGGTTAGAGCTTCCACCTTTAGTAGCAGGATAGACTGTAGGAAGGTCTTGGATATCTGCTCTTCAGGCAGCTGAATTTCCTGGAGGTAAATTGGACCCTTTTTCTTCCCAAACTCCACAGTAGAACTTGAGAACTCTTTCATAGTTCATCAAAACAATATTAAAATTATGTTTTTGGGTCTTTTTTTGACTTTTCTCATTCTCACTTCTTTCCTTTTGACTCCCACTGAGTCTCACTGACAATATAGTTCTCCCCTCTGTATTTTGATGACAAACTTGCTACGGTTTATAGACTGACTTGGATTTACAAATGCAGATTTTCATTGCTATCTTATTTTGTGCTAGATGGATATCAGTATTGACCAACAGCAAAGAAGAAGCATTAAATATGGCATTCCGTGGAGAGCAGAGCACAGGGGAAAACAGTCTAGAGGACCTGACCAAAGCCATTATAGACGACATACAGAGATTACCCGGCAACGAAGTCTGTTGTGATTGTGGCTCACCAGGTATCTCAGTTTGTTAGTCATCTACCCACTGTGAGCAACATAATTCCTTTGAAGTGTTTGTAGAGTAGAAACTAATTTTTGAAGTGATCGATCTTCAACCTGTTTTTAAAAAGAGCAAATTCTGACTTTCAGGCATTAGTTTCATTTAATTCACTGAAATACTTCTGTGTGTTTTCTGTGTGTTTACTTGCAGCAGTTCAAGCCCCTCTGGAGTTTGAACTGTTTTTATTGCACTGTCTCTAGATGCTTGTTGCACTTGAATGGAAGTTGTTGTGTATGCTACTAAGTARAAGTGAGTAATGCTTAGACAACAATTGTGGAAAGAACTGAACTGGCCAGGATCTGATCTTACTGTGAGCATGAGACTATTAGAAATGGATTATCAAAAATCTTTAGGGTTGCAGTAAGTAGTCTCTTGCAAAGAAAGTGGAGACCCAGAACTGGAGTCCTATCAGACTGTATCTTCAGAAATACAGTTACAGCCAGCTGTATGTCACTTAGAACTTGAGAACAGTTAAATTCTTCTAAAACTACTGAATTTGTATGGTAGTTGAAGAGTTTGTTTAGATTTTAGAGCTGTAATATCAAGACGCTGATGCTCACTGTAAACTGAGTGGATGTGTTTCTTCAGAAGAGATTCATTGACATAGAATTGATCCAAATTGAGGGGAGAAAATAAAAAAAGGTAAAAAAGAATTGAATACTGTRAAAGCATTATGTCAAATCCTTGAATTGGTTCATTCAGTTACCTCATCACATAAATCTACAGATACCTCCAAATATAGTTCYGGTTCATTCTTTATAGTGAAATTTTCAGTTCCCAACCTCCATGTTAACAACGTTCTTACTGTGCTCTCAGTGGAGTAACTTCAGGTTCCCCCACCTCAGCCTGCTGCTTTAAACTCTTGACTTAATACTTTACCAATCACTAAGATCAGGAAAGACAATTTGAAGAGGTATATGTATAATATAATCTATCTAGAGGAATTATTTTCTTCTTCAAAATATCGTTCTAGCTTATTATGTAGCCTTCCTAATGTAAGATCTATTCCAATTTTACATGCAGATCTCCATGATGGTGCAAGCTTTTGTTGTTGTTCTAGTCCCAGATTTCCATAGGCTTTCTTTAATGTGTTAGCTATAATACACACAAGAAATATTGTTTAGTCGTCTGTGAATAAAGACTATTGAAAGTTTAAGTAGTAAGGATTAAAAGTTCAGCGTTTGCCAATGGTRGAATTTAGTTCATCTGTTCCTTTTCAAAATAGGGAACGAAAGCCTACCTTCTTTCTGCAAGAAGCAATTCTTATTCAGTTCATATTGAAAGGTGCACTATGGACACAGAAATCCAAATGCAGTGTCTTTGTGACTTTTAGTCTCTCAGTCTTTTAGTCTGAGAGACTGAATTCCACTGGCCTCAATGTTTGGTTAAATTCTCACCACAGTTTGGATAAAAGATTAGGTGTTCATATTTCACTCCCAATTTTTAAACTTTATATGAGAAGTCATTTCAGAGTACAGCAATTTCTTACAGATRTTAAAAACGTCTGTTTGAACTTTCTTTAAATGTTTTTGTTTTCAACTCTACAGATCCAACGTGGCTATCAACTAATTTGGGCATTTTAACGTGCATAGAGTGTTCTGGAATACATAGAGAAATGGGTGTCCATATTTCTCGAATCCAGTCATTGGAATTAGACAAACTAGGAACGTCTGAACTCTTGGTAAGCTGTTTTTTGTTTTCTCTCACTACTACCAACCTGTAATAAGAAACATTCAAAWTTAGAATTTACTGTAAATTGTTTTCAAGATACTGATTTTTCCAGAATGCATAGTTCATATTTTTATAAATACTGTATTGAGTGGTGTATTATTGATGCTTTTATCCATTTACCACTTTTCATGTTAATTCCTTGATTTTACAAATTGAATATTCACTGCTTGGAGCAACTGAAATGTTACCTCTCGTTAGCCAATCTTGACACTTAATTAGGAGAGTCCAAAATCTTATGTGATGAAAAATAATAGTAAAATAGTACAATTTTTACAAAAGAAAGATGAGTCTTCTACTTTGACAAAAGAAACCTTGTAATGTTAATCTTGTGAAAGGAGTCAAGCAAGTGCATGTGTTATAGTTATCAAAAAAAGTTGGGAAGTTTATTTCCTCAATTTTGCTTGACTATAGAGAAGAGACTAACAAAATTTTACATAGGAAAATATAGGAAAGATAGAAAGCAAGTAATTTATGTATATATTATGTGTAAATATGTACAGATCCCTAGCACTTTTACCTTTTTTGGAAACCTTGAATTTCTTCTAACTGAATTTGGGAGGCTTGTGATTCACTTAGGAGATAACTATTCAATTAAATTGAACTCTGCTAAGTAAGTATTTCCAATGTGTCTGAACTTTTTTTCCAAAAGTAATTCCTAGGGCTGGCTCAGTGTTGTGCTGCTAGTTTATCATTATGTTTTTATATCTGAGATGGACGAAATACAACTTGACAATAAAACTTATTTTTTTAACAAGTAGTAGGATAATGTGGCTTACATTTTAAAAGATTTTACCTACTTTACATATAAATATAACTATTTTACTTTTATTTTCAATTGTTTAGATATTTCATTAGTCGTGAGGAAAATGTGCATTAAATCATGTTCATTCAATTTTTTTTTTCTTTCCAGCTGGCCAAGAATGTAGGAAATAATAGTTTTAACGATATTATGGAAGGGAATTTACCTAGTCCTTCACCTAAACCCACTCCATCAAGTGATATGTAAGTTTTGACCCTGTAATTTTTTTAWTACTAATTCTTCTGCAGAACGTGTACATGGTTGTTAAAAATCTTAAGCTATAGTCAAGCTAGATGACTAAGGTGGCAGGATTTTTACTTTCCCTCCAATTCTTAAGTTTTTTGGACGTCAATCGTTTGCTTCGTCATCTCGCTTTGGATTCTCCATGCAGAATGTTAGTTCTCAGATACCATAAGTTTGGCTTTCCTAGAGATTGTTCTGAATCTTGAACGCTTTCCATTTTGGTAGTACAGCCTCATGTGATAAAAAGCGTTGGAGCAAMTAATGCCAACTCCAGTACTGTTTTCAGAGGGTGTTAAGTTTTTTCTGTTGTTCTCTGGTATAGAAGATGCACAGACCACATAATGGATGTGGTTTTGTTGGCGAATGGTTCAATTTGTTTTCCTGTTTTGTTCCTGCCTCAGTGTTTCTTGCATGGCTTTCATATGTAATGAGAACACAAGGTACAATTCAACATGTATCTGATTGTGGGCAGGAAGAAACGTGCATTATGGTAATAAATGTCTTTATCAGATATTCATGAACTTCATTTTTGAATTTCCGTTTTAGGTAAGGTGATTTAAATTTAAATCACAAGCCCATTTCACAAGACTTCTAAACCAAATCCTGTTTTCACACCCACAGGACTGCACGTAAAGAATTTATCACTGCTAAATATGTAGATCACAAGTTCTCTAGGAAGACCTGTGCGTCCGCAGCAGCTAAACTGAATGAATTACTTGAGGCTGTCAAATCCAGGGATTTACTTGCACTAATTCAAGTCTATGCAGAGGGAGTAGAGCTAATGGAGCCGCTGATAGAGCCTGGACAGGTAAAGGGATGGGGTGAACAAACCAAGAGCAATATAAATGAGCAAGGTACATTATTAAAACCCTGCTTGGATGCAGCCTAGGGCCACATACACTGGGTGACACTGTGTGTGCAGGGGGCTTAGRCTAGATGATCCCTGGAGGTCCCTTCCAACCTTAAGGATTCTATGATTCTATGATATGTTTTACTTGTTTCCCCTAATGTGACATCCTTTGCGGGAGAGAACACGTCACAGATTAGTCTGAGGGAGTGTGAAGATGCAGTGGTTGGACCATATGCTATGTTAGGTGCAACTATAGTTGCTCTACAGAATGTTCCTTTTGGGAAAGGGGGCCTGAAGAGAGAGGCCTTGACCTGATATCCTAGGGTCAGGTGCTATCAAAGGCAATATCCCATCTGCTTTAATAGGAGTCGCCAAAGGCACACATCACTGAAATTGCATGAGGTGGCCTATATTATACAAATCTCTGCTGATTCTATATGAAGAAACAGTAACTGCTTCCTTTACAGATTGTAATAAACTATTTAAAGAAACAGATTTTTTTTCCCTCCATCAATGAAAAGATTTTTTTCCCTGTAAAAGGTCATTGCAGTTCTTGCTGAAGCCCTTTGTTCTGAAAATCATTTGAGTTTGCTTGAGATACCTACCTCAAATCCCTGTGGAATGTTGCTCAAGAGCAAATGTGATGCTGTGTCAGCATCACTCTGTGAGCAGAGTTTTTTCCTGTTCATGTTGAATCCAACTGTGAAACTTTRTTATAAAGTGCTGCAATGGAGAAATCTCAATATTTCTGTGACAGGTTCCATGAAAGTAGCTGATTTAGCAGAGGGCAAAGCACAGCTTATGTAAAGTGGAGGATATGAGTTCAACATGCTCTAAGCATTTGAAATAGCATAGAATGCACGTTGGGAAGGCACATTACGCACTCTCRTAACTGCAACTTAAACTTTCTATTTTTGTCTCATCCATAACACATACCATAGAATTTGCTTCTTAAAATCTCTTAGCTGTTCACCAGTGGTATCTAGAAAAGCATGAATTCCAGCTGAAGTGTTAGTTGGGACGTCTGTAGCAGTTTCTTTTCATGTAAATTCTCTGACGTTGATTAAAAGTCAAATTACTGAAAAAGCCATGTAATCTTCCACATACTCTCTAATGTCATTTGTGATTAGTGGGAATAAAAAAAAATCTGGTTTTAAGTTGATTTCTCTCTTGCAATTTCTGAACTGAATTAACACAGCTTTCACACTTTTATATAAAYGTCTATATCTGCTACCTGTGCAGAAGATAATACACAATTCAGTTTAAAAGAGGTAATACATGTTATGATTTGAGTATTTGTTCATGATGTGTGCACACTTATGTTTTTATAGGGCATAATGACCATATTTGTTTCTTAACTTGTTGCACTGGTGAACACTAAATACTGCAGATTCTCTCTGTGTTCCTGGCTTGAGAGGTCCCCTAACAGTTACTGGAATGGTAGAAGGTCTCCACAGGGTACTGCTGTTCATCTGGAACAAGGGAAAAGTGGTTTAAGAGGGTCGTGACATCAAAAAGAGGGGCTGCGTTACCCTTAAAGCACATGGGGCCTTCAGAGATCAGAAAGGCAATGGTTGTTTTCACCATAATTTCCTAATAACAACTTTTGCTGTAAGATTTGTCATAAAAGGCTGACTAAAGTGTCAGCAGAAGGAATGATATTATAAGCTTAGCAGAAGCAAAATGCAAAAATGTACCTTTTTTGTGTGTGTGTGTGTGTTTAGGAGCCGGGTGAAACAGCACTTCATTTAGCAGTCCGGACTGCTGACCAAACCTCTCTCCATCTGGTTGACTTCCTTGTACAAAACTGGTAAAGATTGCTCATTTTTCATTAAGTTGTTAGGAATTACAAGTGTAGATGTTCAAAGTCATTCTTGCAGTACTTTGGATGGAGTTTGCTTATCTCTCCTAATCATTATTCTTACCTATGTTTCAAAAGAATGTGGTTTAGTAACCTTAAGGCTGTTTTATGAATAAAAAGAGGTAAATRAAAGTAAAGTTAAAACATGAAAAGCAACTTTATGTAAAGAAGATGGAAAGAGAAGCTATGTGGAGCATAGGAGAAAACAACATCTTTTTGGAACACATGAAAATATGAAACATAGTGCAAAAAGTATAAGTAAAGACAAACAGTAATTCTTGCAAATATAGGGACRGAGTGCAGAGAAATTGTAGGAATGGAAAACAAGATTAATTCACAAAAAATACCGGATAAATTATGGATAAATTGATAGATCGGATAAATGGATAAATTATTGGAAAAATGGATAAATGATCTGAATAGTGTTACAGGTTTTGAGAGCCTACTGTTTTAAACTAAACTTCAGCATGTAATTCACTGGCTGAGCTAATCCTTGCAGTCAGGAATAGTGTTGACAGGAGTAGAAAAACCTGATGAAAATACTTTCTTAAAAAAAATCAGATGATGTAATGGCACATACCATATATAAATGTATGTCTCTATAAATATGTGTACATTATATATTCTTCCTTTTTGTTACCTCTATATCACCATATATGTAACGRTTAAATAGTCATTCTGTTTCTATGGCATGAGTCTGTGTTCACAGCCTGTCTTTTGTGAACTCAGTGTTGCCTTTTTTTCCTTCTTTCAATCTTTTGTGCATCCTCACCACACCCTTCTTCATAGCTGGTGCAGGTTTTTTTATGTTCTTTGGATTCTAACTATGTAAAAATGATTTTTCAGTTATGTTTGGTAAAGAAAATAACACTTTCTGTGAATATTCTGAATGGCAGGAGGAAATCAGCTTGGAATGACCTTGGATTAGGTGTAAATCCAAGTTAATTCTCTGGAATGAACATCTGTAGATACTCGGTCATTTTCAACTACTGCTCAGGGCTTTCCAGCAATACACCTCGAACCATAATTCCTCATGGTCTGTGGAAGTGAGAGATACACTATTTAATTGAAATACATAACTTACTACTGTATATTTGTGCGTTAACCATTTTTATGTGTTACAATAAATTTTTATTACTGATAGRGATGCTAGATCTAAAGTGATCTGAAATAAATGGCACAGTATACATTACTGTTCTTGTTTTTTTTTTTCTTTCCTTTGTGTTTAGTGGAAACCTGGATAAGCAGACAGCATTGGGCAATACAGTTCTACACTACTGCAGTATATATAATAAGCCTGAGTGTTTGAAATTGCTTTTGAGGGGGAAGCCAACTATTGATCTGGGTAAGCTCATTTAATACTGGGAAATAAAGATTTCCTAATGTACATTTTTTATTTAAGTTTTATTTGGAGTTTATTTGGAGTCCAGAGTTCTCTCTCTGCCATCATCTTCCTCTACCTCCCCAGTTCAACAACCTCTGTGTAAAACTAGATTTCTAACTTGGCAGTAGAAATCATTGTTTTCCTTGGCTTTTTCACACATGTTTAGAACACTGGCATGTTGTAACACTATCATAGGTTCTTGGATTTGACTTTTTTCTTTCTTCTTCCTACTTAATACAATAAGAAAATTAATCCAATAAGCTTAAGCAGGCCTATTGGTTCTTCTTGGTAGCAACTGGTAAGAGTGACCTTTTCTGGGCCAAGTTTCTTTCTTGAGATTTCACGTAGGAGCTTCATATCTTCTTTATGCCTCAAACCATCATGTTTATGCTTAGAGGTTAAAAGTATGGAATTTATACAGTCTCTTAAGTAATCTATGTCTTCACTTGAATTAAGAAATAATATTTTTACGTTACTCCTCATATTAGAAGTTCTAATCCTCAGTTGTCTTTTCATGCTGAGCCTTCCTTCTTCCAGAGATCTTCATTATTCTAAATAAAAGCCCTCTTTGAATAACATACTGAAAATAGCCTTCCTAGGTGGCTGGTTTATGTTTTATAAAATTCACTACTGTTGCTCTAGAGATAATATTACACAGATATGGCTGCTTGTCAAACTTCAGCTTAGTTTGACTGTTTTCATAGTCCAGTCAGAGCAAAAGTTCCCCAACATAATGCCTAATGTGATCATTCCTAGATATACAGTAGCAAGTCTTAAAAAAAAATCCTAAAATCTTATATGGAAAAAAGAATCTAGGTAAAGATTACTCTTACGATATTTCTGCAAATGCTGTGGAGTTAAACTACAGTATACCACATACCCAAACTTTATGTTGGGGAACTTTTTAGAGGACTGGAGTCATTGTCTGCTGCTTGGGCATKACTTGAGAATCTAAAGGATTGTATAGCCTTTGAGATGTGGGGGGTGGGAGTGAGAAAAGCAATGTATATAAATAATTTCTGTTCATATGTCTTAGAAACAGACTTCTGCCTTCAGATTCAGCCTTCAGATATTGTCATTGAGATTAAAAAGTGCTTGGGTCAACATTTGCCTTTTTATTTTTCTTTTAATCTCAGAAGAGTTTCCTCTCCTGAGCTGTCTTGCCCTATCTGCCTGCTATTCGTGCTTAGTCATTGAAGAGTTTTACTGACAAAAGAGTTGAGCAGGGTCTGAAATGTCAATGTTTTCTGTGTTCTCTGCTCAGATGGTTAGGAGGGAGATAGGGACTGTCTTAACAGATGCTGCTGTTCAGAAAGTGCTTGATGATACATGAAGCGCATGAGTGTTTATAGTGGTATCTTAAGAGGAAACACATTTTTAAGCCATTTTAGAAATTACTCTGCTAAAAATATGGAAATGTAATGATTCTGGACACATCTCAAAGAATTACTCTGTTTTTATTAATTTTTTAGTAAACCAAGCTGGAGAGACGGCTCTGGACACAGCCAAAAGATTGAAAGCTGTCCAGTGTGAAGAACTGGTAAGGAAGAAAATAAAGGAAAGGAAGCTTACTTCTTTAAAGATATGATCTATGTAGAGTATCCTTTCCTGCTATATCTCACACTTGGTTATTTCTTTTAACTGTCTGTAGGCTGGTCTAAAGACCCTGCCATGGTTGTATTAAAAAGAAAAAAAAAGAAAAAGAAAAAAAGAAAAAAAAAAGTAAATTCAGTACATTTTCAGTAAATTCAGTCCTCATTTCCTTTGTAAGTATATGAGAAAGACAGTATGCAGGTTTATTTTCTACTGGAAGTAACTAGCTATTTTAACCAGCCCTTAAGCTTTTTAAAGGTTTGGTATTTACCTGAAAATCGGTTACTGCAACCATCTAGAACATGGAATTTCTTCAGCTCAGAAGTTCTGCTTACACACATTTTTGTCAGGAGCACAAATCAATCCCTAAAATATTGAGTCTGTCAAAAGCTTTCAGGACTACAGCTTTGCTTAGCTTTTCTTGTTTGGCTTTTTCCAGCCTATTTGGTACAGTTAGGGAGTTGAGAGGTCCTGCAAGTTTCCTATGAAGAAGAATTGAAACAAAACYAAACCATCTTGAAGGAGAAAGAAGGAAAATACAGTGACCAAACTGAAGTGTAATATCTGGGAGCTGGGGGAGCAAAAATGTAGAACGCTTCAATCTCTGGAAGTTTCTCTCTCCTTTGATCATGGTCAGGGCAAAATTTTCTGGAATCTCCAGAATGTGAGTGGTGTCAAGAGGCAGGAATTCACTGGTGTTCAAGAAATAAAAGTATCAGAGCTAAGGGATTTTCTCAGATATTCTGCTGAAGCARAAATTCAAGAATAAGGATTCTGCATTAGAGCAGCAAGCTTGTGTGTCCTCAAAGCTTTAAGATGCTTGACTTGCATGCATTTAGTAAGCAAGGAAATATATATATATAAAAAAAGCTTAAGCTGTAGAGTTTCATGTATAGCAGAGATGCAGAAGAGAATCTACAAAACATTTGCAGTCTGATTCTGTTTCTTGTAACCTTCCAACCCTCATTTTGACAATCCAAGACAGAAATGTGCACCTTTTCTGCAGCTGTTACTTTTAATATCTTCTATTTAGCAACTGCAAATTCTTGACATGTAATAATTAAACAAACGCTACACTATCAAGAGATATTTTCCTTCAAAATTCAGAATGATTTTCCTGCTTTCTGGCGATGCAAATCAACATTATGCTGTGGTTGATAAGGTTGATAAGACTCTCACTGACTTCATTGCTTCCATATCTGTAACTCTAGTGCTTTTTCCAGGGTTTGAGTATCCTCTCAGCTTTGCAACACACAGCTGAAGGAATTACCTTTTTTTTGCAATATATTCTTTATTAAGCAATACCTGTGTGGAGCAGCTGGTTGTGTTTAAGATCGAACAAAACAAAACTTGGATATTTTTGGTGGGCCTATCTAGCAGTTAATTGCCTCAGATCCTGTAATTGAAATCCTGTGAATATTGCTCAGATTTTCAGTAGACATTGTAACAGTGGTTTATGCCTCTTCTAATTTTTATTTTTATTTTTTATTTTTTATTTTTTGTTTTTAAAAGGAAAACTAGTTCTATATTTTTCTTAAAATTGTCAGGGAGATGAGGCTAAGGGTAAAAGAAATAGGAATGGGCCTGTGGGCACAAAAATGTAGAAAATAAATAACCAAATACTTGCAGTGTTATACAGGTAATGAGCAGATTTCTAATTAGTGTCTTAGCTGTATCATTCCATTCCAACTAAATTGGATGCATTCATATTTACACAGGAGGTTGAAAACATGTTATCTCTTTGAAATCTCATTTAAGGATAATCTTGCCTGTTTACAAGTTCTCCTGAATAACTACTACCAAAGAGACTGTGTTTTAAAGACTGTGTGGAAATAAAGACTAATGAGATTTCTGAGTACGGAAATGGAGAACTTGTTACTTCCAAGAATTAATGAACTGCAGTTTTCTCTTTGCTGATGGTTGCAGAAGTAGTAGTTTTTTAAAGAATGTGAATATGCAGACCAGCAGTTTAAAGGAGTTGTATGCATTGTATTAGCCTGCTTGAGTGGTAGGGAGAAAAAAAATCCACTTCAGGATTTAAATAAAGGATCAGTTCCTTTACTGTGACTGAAACACAAGGATAATACTGATTTTTTGGGAGGTAGAAGTTGTATACTGCGAAATTTATAAGTAGATTTTGCCGATAACTCTATGATGAAATGAACATAGATCTTCCGATTTGGCCTAAGCATTTTTAATTCTGTGCATAAAAGCCTTTTTGGTGTTTATTCTTATATATCCCAAATAAAATACTAAAAAAAAAAAAAAAAAAAAAGGTCTAATGGATCTGTGAGTCTTTAACATACAGTCAAGTTTTAAAATTGGAAATAATTATATTTCCTGCTTGTTATTTAATATGCAAATTAAATGTAAATGCAAATTAAATGTATAGATGCCAAAGGAATAGAAATAGTTTTTTACAAAGATTTTTTTTTTCAGCTTTCTCAGGCTAAGGCAGGAAAGCTAAATCCTCATGTCCACGTGGAGTATGAGTGGAATCTTCGTCAGGAAGAAATCGATGAAAGTGATGATGATTTGGATGATAAGGTGAGCAGGAATTAGTGCTTGAATTAAAGGTTACTCTTGCACTCTAAAAAAATTACGAGGCTTTTTTTAGTACCTTATTTAGGATATTATCAGCATGTATCTAGTGCTTTACGGCTAAATCTAACTTCATGTACATGTTGATTTGCTGATAGTACAATTTTTAATTCTAAAAGTCTAAGAGAAAAAAGTGATCTTATCCAATAAAGAAAAAAAGTTATGCTCATGTCTCCTTGAATATGTTCTATTATATTCTTTCTCAAACACTTACATTTAATATTTAGACAACTATATAATGTATTTTTTGTTCTGTTCGCAGCCTAGTCCTATAAAAAAAGAAAGATCTCCACGACCCCAAAGTTTCTGTCACTCTTCCAGTATTTCTCCCCAAGACAAAATGACTCTTCCTGGATTTAGCACTCCCAGAGACAAGCAAAGACTCTCCTATGGAGCTTTCACCAATCAGATTTTTGCAAGCACAGATTCGCCAACCTCTCCAACTGCAGATGCTCCTCCTCTCCCTCCTAGAAATGCTGGCAAAGGTAAGCCTGTCCTCAAGCTACTCTGCCAAAGCAATCTCTTTTCCACAGTTCTCCTTTCTTTTCAAGGTATAATATAGGTATAATATGCTTTTTTTTTCATTACGTTAATATTTTAATGTGATTTAATGTGTGTTCTCAAAAATAAAGAACTTTATAATGGCTTTATATTCATAAAGCTGTTCGTGAACGGGTAAAACATAGCCACAAACTGCTAAATAAAAATGGATTCATTTTCTGTAGAAATTCTGTTAATATTTTGCAAAGTGTATATTGTACAAGTCTTCAAAACAGTCTGTGCTGGTGGGTAGTGCTGAAGGATAATGTACTGTGTAAGATCTGGTAGAGAAGGAAAAGAAACAAAGCTTTGAAGGAAAGGAGGTGCCAGAAGACTCCTTCTTGCAGTCCAACAGTTTGGAAAGAAGAGTATCAGAAAGACCCATGAAGAACAAGACGTGTTGATATTAAACTTCTCTTCCCTTTCAATGCATAGGGATGCCCATTCCACTTTGAGAGAAGTTGGTGGGCATAAGGTATAAAGAACTGCAGAGGAGGCACCAGGCCAGTTCCCAGATGGTTAACAAGTCACAGACTGAAGATCAGTATTAAAAGGCACTTAGTCTCGAGGGAAACAACTATTTTGCTCTTGGTTCATTGACTAAAAGGAAGGCTGATGCCACAATTGGGTTGTTTTCGCCATCTACGTTCAGTCCAAATGGGTGAGATGCTTTTTTTCTCTTTGTGATTAATAGTAATARTGCCATTGTTGGTGGCAGCATTTGGAAGGGCAGAGAACTTACTTTTACACAAGGCTTAGAGTTACAGTCCTCATGGGTAAGGATTCTGCAGCCTAGATAGCAACAAGCTTCAAGCTTAGAGGACATACTGAACAAACCTGTAACTTCACTGTAATTTGTACAAGTTTAGTCTTAGAATAACAACAAAAATCCTTGAAATTTCCATTTTTTTACTCATTTAGAAATAGCCAAATTTTATTTCTAGAGTAAGCTTGCTAGAGAACTTTAGTTGTGATGAAGACTGTGAAGTAGTTCAAGACTTTAGTGGTTATCCCTGCTGCACTGTCTTCACTTCATATTTCATTTCTTCCACTTCTGATCAACTTTATTTTCAAATTAAAAAAAAAAAAATCTGCTATTAAATTTCCAAGTGAATTAATGTTAAGCATTTGCTTAGCTGTTTCTGCAAATTGTTTCCCATATGAGGAAATCAACAGAACACTGAAGCTAACTTGAAAGAAATGACACATTTGAATTCTTCTGTTTTCATTTCAAGGATTAAGAAAAAGGAATCTTTATTTGTACTGCAACAATATAATTAAGATATCACAAAGTATGGAGAAGCATTGCCTGGTCAGAGTGGAAATATCAGAGTCACAATATAAGTCTGAGTGAGAGGAGGAATGGAACTCTGTTAAATTTAGGTGACTAGCTTTCTCTGCTTCAAAAACACCAAAATCTTACAGTCTTCTAGTGATGMTCTATTTTGGGTTGATTTTTATTCAGGGACACTGCCAAATATTTAATTTTAAACCCATCCACTGTATGCAGACCTATACTCCCTATGATTACGGGAATAATTTGACAGCCTCAACAGGCCCAGGGAACAAACTGGCAAATGCTAAGAACAGTCGTGAGAATGTCCAAGTCACTGATTGCCCCTATGGAAGCATTTGTGGTTTATTATGAAGTGTGCTACACTTTGTCAGCTCTGAGATGTCTTTGTTTCTGTAGGAAAACAAAATCTTAAATATTTGTCTATTTTTTTTTAGTTAGAGCAGATGCCTCCTGTCAAAGTTGGCCTGCAAGGTGGATTATCGCATTCTTTTTTTTTGTTAGACATGAGTGTTATCTTATGCAAGGCAATCTGAAAACATAGAATTATATTCTGTACTAAGTTTCCTGAAGAGCTAAGAGTAAGAGGAGCATTTAATCTGTAACTAAATTTAAACTTACCTGCTATCCCTGAGATAATCTGATTTTGCCCCTGACCACCTGTTTTGGCCCAGCAGATACCATGGGACCCTGCTAGAGGATGGAGCCAATTTGGATGGGGAGGATCATTATTTTAGAAAGAGGTAGAGCTTTTAAATGCTTCATGGTGATGTATATCCTTTGGGACATACAAATCAGAGGATTTGGTGTCTAGGAGTTAATATGATTCACTGTTAAAATTGTATGGGTGGATTTTTAATTGTTGGAATGTGCAAATTCTAGAATTCTTTAGGTTCTCCCATACATGATGCTAATGTGAGCCCAGATTTGCTATTTGGATAACGTTTGTGTGCTGGAGTGAGATGGCTTCTGGCTTGCATTCAGGAAGCAGAGAGCTGTGGGGAGTTTTTTTAGGTTATTCCTAATCCTCAAGTATTTACTGTCAGTTTGAAAGAGAAGGTTTCAGTGCAACAGACRTGCTGGCATTTGGGCTGTTTCGGTGCAAAGCCCAAATAGTCCTAAAGTGACCAGGAGTATTGGCTAAGACAGGATGTATTCCTCACTAACAGCTCATTTGTGGGTACATTTCCACCATCTCTGCTATAGTTTTTGTTAGTCCTAATAGACAGAACGAAAAGCAGAGGATAGTAACTCCATAAAACCCCCATACTTTTTTCTCAGTAATTTATCTAACTTTATTCATGTTCAACCTACTGGTGTTGTGGTAGCGAAGCAGTTGCAGGTCTAAGCACAATAGATGAATAAAGTTTGCCCAAGCCTAATTGCAGAGCCACAGTGAGCACCACATTRCTATCTGCTCTTCCTAGCTCTGTAGAATTGCCAGGTCATTCTAAATGAGCTCTTAATTTTAACTGAAAGCTAATTGACTTCCMGTGGTCCTGCCCATACCATCATGAAAGAAATGAACAGAGGGCAGGGGTGCAATTTTATAACATCAAGTCAACCTTAACCTTGGCATAGCCCTGGAACAGGCTGCCCATGGAGGCTRTGGAATCTCCTCTGGAGATCTTCCAAACCCACCTGGATGCCGCCCTGTGCGCCGTGCTCTGGGTGTCCCTGGTGGAGCAGAGGGTTGGACTAGATGATCTTTAGGGGTCGCTTCCAACCTCAACCATTCGGGATTCTGTGAACCCTGGAGCTCCAATATAGGTAAGCTGGCCCAAAGAGAACTCCACAGCAGTGCAGGGGCCAGGCCATTGCTACTGCAGACACTACCTCACATAATTACTACTTTAATTGGTCAAACTCATTTTTATACAAGTTAGTGCATTTGCTTTTAACTTCTGAAAATTCAYTGTCTTGCTCACAGGCTTAGACATCTTAGAAATCCAATAAATTTATTTTATTTGTGTACCTTTACCTTCAGTGATTTTTCTCTTTCATTGATATTTTTTATTTATTTTTATTAACACACTACTGACAAACTGTCCTACAGGCCTCTGTTTTTGTTTTGTTAAACATACCAAACAGTTTTCCCTCTTGTAATATAATAGCCTTTTATTCTCCTGTTGTGTCAGTTATCCTTTCACTCTGGTCCATTCTCTGCACCCTCCCTGCTCAGATTGGTTTCCTTGAACATGGGTCACTGGAGCTGCGTGCAGATTGCTGTGCTGGCCACGGTCTTGCAGGAGCAGCATCAAAACCTTCCTGCTTCCACTGAAAATACTGTGTCAGGGCAGCTTTTTGTCCTGGGTATTTTTTCCATGGTTGTCGCATCGTTCTGTGGCGTACCAGGCATTACACAGATAACCTGTACATAATCTGGTGCCTCATCACTGAAAGCTCTCTGTACAATAGTACAAATTCTCTAAGTACCAGTTAGYCTTACCCCCATTGCTGTTGTATTCTCTCATTCCTGTTACTCAGTCTTTGAGATCCTCGAGTTTCTCCTCTTTCATCTGAGTGCTCTCAGCATGTAGTATTGCAGCTTTCCCCCTCATGTGCTTATAGACTTATTGTTTTTAAAATATACTTWAAAAAGTGCTATATATTTTGGTTAAATAAAATGTTATTGCTTAGTACTRTAACAGGAAGGGAAGACTAATGGACAGATATTTATTTTCATATAGTTAGGCTTGTACAGCAGTCCAAAAATTGTTGAATGTAAGTTTTGACCTTTTCTTCTTTTCTTTAACAAGATCTTTTAGCATTATTTAAAGGATGTACTTCAGATGTGATTTTTGAATCAATTTAATCATAGCTGTCTTGATTATTGTTTTTTAACAATAACAGTCTTATTTCCAGTAATAAAGGTACATGACCTAAAGGAAGACAAACCGAAGAAGGCTATGCAGAAATTGTCACTCAAAAGTACTTGAAAAATAAAGGTAGCAATATTTGTTAATGAAAATGCCATTTTTAATACAAACTTACTTTTCTTTGCAGTACCTCATCTAGCCTTAACTGGAATACTGGGTCTTCTATAGCTCTCATTAAGTGGTAAAATATTACTATAAATGTGAGGTTTTCACACTATCGAAACACCATTTCTGGAGTGGTTGGTTAACAGCTTTGCATGTCATCACTAGTGCACAAGTTAACAGATCCTGTACTAAATCCACAAAAGCTGAGGGGCAGCACACTATTAATTGCAGACATTTTCCAGTTACTTACCTTAATATAATAAGTCTGTTTGCATAGGAAAGCATGATGCTCATGATAGGACAAAAAGATAACAGCTTTAGTTGAAAGCAACTACTACCCTGCTAATGGAAAAACAGAGAACCCAAAGGGAACAGAATAAAAAGAAAAGATTTTTTTGTGTTTATTTTTTATTTTGTGTGTATGTGTGTTTCTTATGTGAGAAAGCACATGTGATGGGATGGGAACCTCATCACTCTGTGAGAGGTCATCATCACAGTGACTTAGCAGAAGGAATGGTTGGCTTATTTCTAAGTACTAACTGGAGAGCAGTTAATCTTCTAGACCAAGATGCATTGTAATTCTAACCAGGAAGAAAATATCTACCATGCCTGTAACAACATTATGAGAACGAATGCATATTATAAAATGTATTGTATGTAACACAAATAAAGTAATAACAATTTTTATAACAATTTTATTTATACCGAATGTGTCATCAGACCTGTGTATTACTTCATTGCCTGATTCTGTAAATTGTGTTAGATTCCAGAACATTTCCACATTGACTTTATTTAAAACATGATATGATTTGGTACATTTTTCTGAAAAATGGTTTAATGGTTTGCCTTGTTTCCTATTTATTTGAAAATGCATTATTTTCTAAGCATTCCCATCAACCAGCTATCCTTAGTATGTTAGGACTTGTAAATTCATGTTTATTCATACCTTTTACCCAGCTATAAAGCTAATATAATAACATATGATAGTTGTTTGGTAAAGATGCAGCTGTTAACATCTTTTCCCTAAAATTGCTGGGTACCATATAAACTTTGGAAAGCTGTGAAGTGATAACATCTTAAAACTTTTCTATGATATCTATAGACACACTASTGATATGAAATACATTTTTTTCTGATATAATCTCATACTAAATCATATTTTTGTGAGGAAGATTTCTTCATATTATTGGCAATGCAAAGCTCAAAATTACAATCACTCTGTTTCTGAAATACTATTTTTGCAATAAGTATAATGCTATTTCAAAATATTTCCTCACTTAAGTTTGAACTATATGTGAATGTGCATTGGAGAAGAACCAGCTTCCTTTTAGTCTGGAATTGGGATATAGTGCAGTTCGAGTAATAGGACACTAGGTGGTGGTAGGATGGAAGCTTAGGAAGTGTTTGCAGTTTACCCTTGCAGACATTTTGTAAGTATGTAACTCCAGGTGGAGATTTCAGCATAGCATTTTGCTGTTGCAATACTATGTATGTTTTCTATATACCTATAAAGGAAAATGATGTTAATACTAGTTATTTAGTTTTCCTTTCAACCTCACAGTTCCTACATGTGCTTGGAGTTACTTGTGTTTTCTAGAACAGCTTTTTTCAGAAGCATCTAAGCAAACTAGAGGACTTCTAATTTGCTAAAGCCTAGGCTGAAGTTCTTTTACATGCTGATTAGCAAAATGGAAATTATGGCTCAATTATTGTTAAAATAAATTATGTTTGCAGGAATAAGTGAGATTCTGTAGCCTTTTAAAATATTTTATGCTAATTTTGAACTTTCAGCTACCAATAGATTATTTTTTCGAAACTATATGGTCAGATATCTGCATTTATGTGGAGTCCATGATAGTAAAGCCATCATCCTTGCAGGACTTGCTGCAGGATGATGGGCTGGAGGAAAACTAATTTAATAAGGTGGAAAAAAATAAAGCTACTCTAACTTAGAACTACTTTAGATAAATGTTTCACCTTTTTATATATATTTTTTGGCAGTAATGTTAGTTGGCTGAAGCAGTTTTCTTCTCACTGCATTTTGGGCCCTGTTCTACTTGTTTCCTTGAATTCATTCAAGCATTTATGATTGTGAATGGTAAAGTGGATCAGGGAAACATTGCCATTCCTCCTAGGTTATTTTTTAATCCATATCTATTTCCATATCCTGTCAAGTGCCAGGGTCATAGCAAGGGGAAATCCAGTGTGTTTGGGGTAGGATAGGACTAATCTCTTAACAAGAAATACTATCAAAATATATCTAATCTCAGCCTTAGAAGGGGATTTTCTGATGTCTGTTCTGACGCCTGTAAAAATAATTTGTCATACTCTAAGAATGTGTTTTGTTATAGCTAAGCCACAAAAAAAAGGAAAACAACTAAAAAATGTATTAAGCTTAGAATCTTATTTTCAAATTTTGAAGATTTTTTTTTTTATGTATTTATCTTAACAGAATTAATACAGGATGCTCTAGAGCAAAAACCCTGCCTCCACAAGAGAGTATCCTAAAGTTATTTCATTCTGGTGTAAATCAATCTGTGAAATATTACTTAATATTGAGATTTCATGTACTTTGTCATGACAGCGTGTGAAATGAGAGCTCCTGGAGTGACTAACCGTGTATTTTGCGGCGAGTGCCCGTGTGTCGTTTCCTCGTCAGGCGGCTCCCCGGCCGCCGCCAGCCCCGCCGCTGGCGCGGGCACTGTCTCGTCGGCCTAACCAGCGCTTCGGCATGGCTCGTCCTCTGGGTTTAGTGTTTCGCTGCACTTTGCCGTGGTCTGACGAACTCTCTGGTGCTGCTTTGACGTTCATGGCGTGCCTGTGTAAGAGGACTGTCTGTTGTTTTGCAGGCCCACCTTCAACCCTCCCTCTAAGCACCCCAGCCTCTAGTGGCAGCTCCACTCTGTCCAAGAAGAGGCCACCTCCCCCGCCCCCAGGACACAAACGAACCCTCTCTGACCCACCAAGCCCACTACCTCACGGACCCCAGAATAAGGGCCCAATTCCTTGGGGTGAGTCTTCCGAAACGCAAAGCACGAGGGCAGGGGACGGCCTTTCCGGTGGGTGCTCTGTAGCCTCCTCTCGCCTTTGCCTCGCGCCCGCTTTCTGGTGGTTGCAACTCGATGCAGTGTCAGGTGGACCAGCCGTTGTCTTCTGTCTCTGTAGCTTCCAGCTTTCTGTATCCGAGTCTCCCTTGGGGAAATTGGTGGTATTCCAGGTTTCTCTGCAGCCCAACTCAGCCTCCTGTCGCCTCGCCAGCCGCCTAGGCTGCCTTCCCCCCGTCCTCCTCCTGCTGCATCTGCTCTGCCTCCACCTCCTCGCCCTGCTGCTCCTCTCACCAGCTCATTCAGCTGGGAGAGAAACAGAATTCAGACCCGCTTTGGGACAGATGCACCTCAGTTAATCTGTGCAGTTCCCCCAGTGGCAGAGTAAAGATTTTTTTTTTTTTTTTTTTCCCCCTTGGTCTGTGTGCCAGGTCCCTCCTGCAAAGTGTTCATAACTAAGTGGTTGAGATGTGTTGTCTTAATGTTTTCAGGTTTTGTGATGTTGTCTGTACATACAAAAAGACTGATGGCTTTGCATCCTTCTACCAGCAGGAGAAATAACAAAATAACAAGTTTTATACCAGGTTACCTTTCAGAGAGAAACTTTTTAGAAATTATTTTCCTATCTACACAGATTTGTTCTTTTTAATAAAGATTTCTCTGTGCAGTCAGTCAATTTTTTTCCTGTAGGTATAAATCACAGGCCCATATAATTTTCTATGATTTTAGTAATGTTGGTGRGATTTCTTCAAATCCTGTTAACTTTTGAATTGCAATCCAATACTTATGCAAGGATGTATGTCATCCATATACTGCTCAGATCTCTGAGTATTCTTTTTGTGTCCCAATATGAACATTGAATCTCCAGCAAGACTAAAAGTACATTTTTTTTCTAGAACAAAAATAGGTTAAATGTTAAATTTGATTTTAACTTCAGTTAAACGTCTTAAATCATGGGCCTATGTATAGTGTATATATATGATTTAGTTTAGGATTTAAAATGAAGAAAAATACAGAGTCTAAGGAAAAGTAAAGCATCTTAAATGACAAGTAGAAATAATAATAATAATCTTTACATTTCTCTACTTTTTTTTAGAAACTGTGATGTGGAAAATGTATTACCCTTTCTGCGAGTTTTAATAGCCCTCTTTCACCTCAGAGGTAGTCAAGATGTTTCTGAGGAGATTGGACTTCAAAATTAAAAGATCTTTTAGTCCAAATCAGCACAAAAATACCACATGCTTTAACATAACACTTGTGGAATCTAACATTTGTGGAATGAAAATTGTGATGGGAGCAGATGTTAAACTAGTGTCGATTATTCTTGAAGAGATTAAGGAAAAGGGGAATATGGGAAGATGTARATGTGGAGTAGATGTTGAAGAACTTTTAAAGTAGCTTTTCAAAGCAGGGCCAGAAAAAAGAACATTGCTTATTCTCCCTCCTATCTGCCATACTATGCAAGCAAATCTCTGAGGATGGCAGAGAAGCCTTTTCTTCTCCTAGAGGAGAACTATGCAAAAATCATGTTGGATTTTGAGTGTTTTTGAGTATTGTAGAGGTAAAGAGGGAGATTTTTCTGTCTGCCTTTGCTCTTTTCAATGTTTAAGAATTTTGCCCAAATTCACCACTTTGCTTTTCAACTCTCTTGTCATTTTTCTTGCTACTTTGCATTTCAGCATTTTTCTCGCTTATACGTTGAGAGATCAAACAGAACAATCTGTAAGTTCTGTCCTACGAAATTAGTTTGCTATTCAGAGATGTTTTAAAAGTGTCACGTAGATGATTTGTATTTCTGTAGCAAATGAGATATTTTCCTTGCTTTATCCACAGGACCTGTATGTGAAGGATTTAGTGTTTATTTAGAAAAAAAAAATGTTACAAGACTCACCATTACCATCTCTGCAGCAGTTGAAATTTATGAGAGTTAAGGAAATTTAAGGGACTGTTATTCCTTAAAATCTAATTATGACATAGGATTGGCTGCAATCTTATCACAGTTTCTATAATTTCGTTGCTCAGGATGAGTAACCAAGTATGGTAAAGTAGATGCCATACTATAGAGATACCATGTATTGGCTAGAACAAGTAAAGAAATGGGAAAAAGCTCCAAAAATATTATTTTTTGTCACCATCATTTCATGTAGACTCGGATGCCTTAAGAATGGGAGATTCAGTTGACCTTTGCATAGGAAATATTTTGCTTTGCTTCATGGTAAATTTTGTCCCTGGGAAATATATGTAATCTTTTTGAAGCTGGTTCTAAGATCATTTAGACTTTGCTAAGGGAGAGGAAAAGGGGGGATAAAGGCACTAAAACAAAAGAGATATGGAATTATATCTTGGGAATGGTAGTGATTAATGAAGGAGATCTTTTGTACTGGAATTGTTCAGAAGCACCTGGATTGAGATTTTGCTGCTTCTTGACAGACTTGAGTAAGCCTAGGACCTTGCCTTTATCAGGAAGTTAATTCAGGTTTTGGTAACATTGACTTAAAGTGTAACGTCTTCTGATTTAAAGATTCTGCTGAATAAAATATCAAGCCATAGAAATTAGATATTTTGAGAGTAAAATCAAGCTTATGTGATTTTAGAAAGATGCACCGTATAGAGCAAAGCTTAAGCATCTGCCATAAATTTATTTGGATATTGGTTTGCAGTATTTCTTTCTGTTTCCAAGAAAATTGGAAAACTGTGTTGAGGGGGAAAGAAGAAAAGTAATTCAGTGCAGTAGTAACTCAACAGCATAACTCAGTGCTTTCCCTTGCCAGCAGATGGCAACTTCGAGAGACTTGTTTCTGAAGTGTGTTTTATGCAGGCCAGTTTAGATTATTGTTACAGTCCCTGTATCTTTCTCAGTTTATAAAGTTATTAATAAAGAATGGTCTTTAAAATATTTAGATACGTTCTGTAGAGGATAGTTGGAAAGCTGTGACTTTGATTTAAACTTACACATTTCAGTTCTCTTAATGTTGTCTTTTTTTAATGTTCTTTTACCTCAGGTAATGATTTGGGCCCACCTTCAACTAAGGCTGCAAACAAGTTTGAGGGGATGTCTCAGCAGTCAAGGTAAAATCAAATCTCTAAGTTTGATTATAAACATTTATCTTAATGCATCTAATTGTAAAAGAAAAATTAGCATTTTATATGAGATAGAACATCAGCTACGGGCATTGTTAATGTTTTGCATGTCCTACAACCACACGTGCCTTAGCTTCATTGAGCTTTCTGTGCTTTGCTCAGAGCAATGCAGACACAGTGCAGCTTTTCAGAGGGATGGACAGAACTGCTTGTACCAGGATCTATCCATTGCTCAGATAAAAGTGCCTTCTGGGCTAGAGCACATTGCCTTAAACTGAAGTCTAGAAGGACAAGAAGGTTTGTCTTGATGGCTCCTGACATTTCACTTTATCCGCTTCATGGCGCTGAGGTATCGTGCCCGTTGCTGTAGAAAAATGAAGTGCTTCGTAGTGTCACTCCTGGTGTAGGCTGGCATAGCAGTAGCATTCCTAAGGGAGAGGAGCATCTCAGTCTTCCAGCTGAACTGCACCCGAGGGCTGCCGTGGGCTGTGTGATGAAGCAAGAGGCGCTCGGCCCATAGGCAGCGCGGCCTGCGCTCTGTGGCTTTGCCGTGCCCCACTGTCACTCACCGCCTGCTGCCCCTCTCTTGTGATTCCAAAGCGCTTATATCCAAAATATGGCATTTTGATCACCGTGTGCCTTGGGCAGGGCAAGGGAATCCCCGTGGTGGGACCACAGGCTGGGATGAGGCCAGACCCGGGCCCGCGCGCGGCCAGGCAGACCCATGGCAGCCGATCTGGATCTGCGCCCRCGGTCGTTCCCTGGGGTTCCCTGCTCCCTGTGACCTGCTTGATCAGGACAGGCAGTGGATCCCTCCGCAGCATCGGAACATGTTTTACATGACGAGTCCCTCTAGGTGGTTTGTGGTATTCAGAAGGAAATAAGTGCTGTTCTGCAGCATAAGGAGCTGAAGCCATGCTTGATACCCATAACATCAGGGTAAAGGAGGAAGACTTCTCTTGATATAATTAAGACTCTAAGGGCATAGATAACTATTTACAGATGTAAGATTGAATTTGGCTGTTCTCTTAACTTTGCATTAATATGTATTTTGTTTTTAAATCAAGCYTAGAAAATGAAGCTGAAAGTGTTCGTTTGTGCTCATTTCCAATGAAAGGGATAAGTAATACCAGATTCAGGGTAGTTCCTGAAGCAGAAAACTTTCTGCTCTGTTAAACATATTTTAGCAAGTTCCTGACTCACTTATCTGCTTTTCCTCATTGTTTTGAGTTAATTATTTTGAGGTGATACTGTTTTTTTTTTTAATGCCTTAAATCAATTGGCTTTTTTCTTTGTAGCTTTTTTTCCAGAGAGGTGTTTGAAATCAACCTAAATATCTCATGAAAAAGCAGAGCTCATTATCYCTTTAATACCACTAGTGCTAAAAGAGCTTCGAAGCATGAAGGGTTTGGAGGTGCTATGAGTTTAAGGAGGCTGGGATCCAGCAATACAAATCCGGTCTGAGTTACGTAGCTTCATAAAAGCAGAACAATCACTGAAATAATTTTCCTCTTTCATGACAGAGTTTAGCTGGTGCCAAACCAGATGGTAGTTTGGGATTAAGTTAAGTTAAGGAAGYAAATTATCTTATAAGATTGGTAGCCTGACCAAACAGGCGTAACTTGTATTTGGATCAGGGGTGAAACACTTCTAATATTCAGCAGAATCTGCTATGCAGTGAGCAACTTATTTTCTCAAAGGTCAGATTATTTTTAATTTGTTACTTATTTTAAAATGAAATGGACAAAGTAAAGATGCCTGTGGAATCTTTATTCCTGTGGAATATTTCAAAGCCCTTTGTGATTTGTGTGACCTAAGGCTGCTTAGAGTGCGCCTGGAGACAGCAGCTCTGGACACAGCATGAAGAGTTGTTGACAGCTGAGGATGGAAATATGAGGGTCTGTTGCTAATGCAGAAAATGGCTCTTTTCAGGGATGTGTAAACTAACCAAAGGAAAATCCATTTTCACCAGAACATTTCAGGGCGTTTGTCAAGAAGGGTTCAACAGACTTATGTCCTGCAGACTTCAGCACTGAGTTTCYTAGTCTCTGTGGTGCAAGAATGATTCTAGAATTACAAAATGTATGCACAGAATCTGGGGAGTGGGGCACAGCAGGGAGGTCCCAGAGTCCATTTATAGAAATGTGAATTTGGTGGAAGGATTTTGGCTTTTTCTTCAAATTCTTAGTAAGTATATTTATATATAATGCCCCACTCATGCAGTGGGCAACAGGATGTAGGCTAATCTGAGAAACTTCGAGCTGCTAATGTAAAGAACAGATAATATTCTAATGTAAAGAACAGATTATATTCTGAGTGAAACAGTCTAATTGCTTTAATGTTTAAAGACAAATTTTCTTATCTCTCAGCTGAGTTCTCTTTCAGTTTYCCCTGTTTTCACAGTATGTTTTTGCATGTACCATGGTCTGTAGGATAAATCTGCACTGCAGCCTTAGAGTTTTGCATGGCCTTTGCATATCGTCTTTTCTGTGTGAAGAAAGTGGTCTGTTCTGCATAGTGCTTTGAGTTTCAGGACTAACCCACAGGGTTAGTGAAGATGAAAACTTCATTACACGAAACAAGTATAAATGTGGATTTTTTCTGAATTATGGTTGTGGGGAAGTAAAAATGGGAATGGGTAAGTGCAACAATTGTGAGCACTAATAATTCGCACGTATTGATTTTTAGCACTGGAACTGCAAAGACTGCACTTGGCCCAAGAGTTCTTCCCAAACTACCTCAGAAAGGTAAAAACTAAACAGCACACAAACAAATAAACCAAAACTTTTCTGGGAGGAGGGAAGGGAAGAGGGAGATAACTGTATGTTTTAAATGTGTGTGAGAGTTGATACTTGTTTTTAGATACAGTATAGTAGATTTTCAGCWGAAGATTTATTCCTAGAACATAGCAAACAATAAAATTTTAGCAAAGCCGAAAAAGATTTTGAAACATCAAAAATCTTTTTATTAAATTGAAAAGCACTTAGTCYTTGGAGGAAAATAGAATCATAAAATAATCCAAGCTGTCTGAGGCCTCAGGAGGCCACTTGGCCCAGTCGGCTGTTTGGAACAGGGCAGGCTCTGACGTAAGGTCGGGTTGTTAAGGCCCCCTACAATTAAGTTTTGAGCATCTCCATGGGTAGCCTCTCCATGGGAGCTAAACTTCATGTCCACTTTTCCTAATCTTGATGCACCTTCTGTCCAGTGTCAGTAAGAACCTCTGTCTTGAGGGAACAGGGTTGTTCTTAATCACTTGGAAAGAATTCAAGTAGGCTACGTACTTGCTTGTGAATGAGTGACAAACTTGCCAAGATCATGATACAACTGACATTTCATGGGCTTCTTCTAGAAATGCATTTGTTCAAGTCTGGCTTTAAAGGAGATAGATAAAGCCTGGYTGATGAGTTAGGAAGTTTTTTGGTTTTCTTTGCAGCATTTCACTACAAGCTTCAGAGTAGACCTGATACAGCAGCCCATCAGAAACACATCACGTGTATCAGTGTCTGACAGGATGGTTATTTTAGAGTCTTAAAGCCAGGAACTGATGCTGGCTGGCTAAACTTCCAAAAGTGACTGAAAAACAGAGCGTAAAGCATTTTAAAATAAAATGCAAATGTGACGTTTAAACTTGGCTTAATAGTCATGATAAGACATCTTTTGAAAGAGCATTGATGGCGAGGTATCACTACAAAGAAAGTCAGTGTTTCCTTGMTTTAAAATGAGAGCTTGTTTTAGGGGAAGATTATATGGGTGCAACAATCAAAGCACTTTGATAAGGGCCAGTACTATTTTTTCATATCATTTCCTTAAGGCTTAAATTGAGGTAGATGATGAGTGCTTGTGTATTTGCTAATAGATGTGCCTAGGAGACGTCATATACAGACTTTCTTAAAACACAGTGTTTGAGAGTAACTATATAATTCATTTCATGAAAATTATATAACATTTTCCTCTTTGCTATGAATAACCATAAAAAAAAAAAAAACCCTGAAATATACTTAAAATTGGTGATATCCGAAGTGAATGGTGTTGGTTTGGTTGTAAAATATCAGCGCATCCTTTTGGATGGTATAATATGACATTAAAGCAGAGCTGAACACAGTATGGAATTACTTCTTTTTGCCAAAATGCATTGCTTTCCTTATGGAGCACATTTTTTTTTCCTCTTTTCCCCCTCATTTCCGTTATTATAGGGTATTTGTTTTTCTAAGTTGGAGTTACAGTCACACAGCATTATCCAGTTCAGTTTTACTCAGGGAATTTAGCAGTAGGATCAGTAAAAAGGAAGTCATGACACTGAGACAAAATAAATCAAAAAGACTTGCTTATTTTCCATTTCCTTCCATAGAACCTTCAAAATACACTATTTCAAAGCATCTCACATATACTAGATTATAAATATTTACTAATATTTATAAATTTAAAAATGAATTAGTGATTCATTTTTATTAGTTTTGGTTTGACTGTACCAGCCTGCTGGGGATAAGCACACAGTCATTTGCTCTCTTCCTGAAGAGGCTGGAGATGCTAATCCTAAAATTTGGTCTATTTTTCAACATAGAGTTCAATTGTAAATGTGCACTGCTGTCTAATATTAAAGAGAATTTTCATTGAAGCCACATCAGTGGCTTGATAAGTTGTCTTGCCTGGTACAGTTTTTCTTTTATTATATTAAATGTTTTTCGTCAAGGTCCTTATTTGACCTTGACTAGTTACCCTGTAAGCTGTGACCTGGTAACTACTGGATTAGCACTGGTGGCCTCCTGCAGGAGCAGTGTGATGAGACCTAGCACAGCCCTCAGTGGAGAAGGGTTAATAAAGTTGTTTTGTCAGGTATTTGCCACAGATTAAGAAGACATATGGGCAGTTATCAGGCTTCAATGATTTAATGACCATATGGTCACTAAGTCCTTTAATGGAATGTTAAAATAAGATTATGAAAAAAGTTATGCTTTTTTTTATTTATTTTAGTGGCACTAAGGAAAATAGAAACCAGTCATCATCTTTCAATAGATAAATCCAATCAGCATGCGGAAATGTTCCACAAGTCTTCGCTGTCCATCGATATACCACAGAAACCACAACCTGGAGACCTGCCCCCAAAGCCTCTGCCTCTGGAACTAACTCAGAAACCTCAAGTGGGAGATTTGCCCCCAAAGCCTGGAGAGCTGCCCCCAAAGCCTCAGCTGGGAGACTTGCCGCCAAAACCACAGCTTGGAGATTTACCTCCAAAGCCACAAATGAAGGACCTTCCTCCAAAACCTCAGCTAGGAGAGGTGTTGGCTAAAACTCAAGGTGGAGAAGCATCACCAAAGCCTCAGCCTGCAGAGGCAAATCAGAAGTCTCACTCGTTAGATCTTTCTCCAAATGTACAATCTAGAGACCCTGTCCAAAAACAAGCATCTGAAGAGTCTAATGACATAGCACACAGCCTGCCAGAAACCCCTGTGCCACTTCCTAGGAAAATAAATATGGTAGGTGTTTCTCCAGCTGGTTGAAAGTATCCGTGGAAAGCCCTGAAGCTGCTATATGGCTATTTGCACAAAACCAGAAAGCCCTTCCGTTACACACATGCAGTGGGTAAATGTGTTGGCTGTGAGGGCTAGAGATGCTTTTTGTGCTCGCAAGCAGCTTCTGCAAACACCAGGGATTCACAAGGCCTCTTGCCAAAACAAACACTACTAAGATAAAACAGTAGTATTGGGAGCATGATCATCTCTTCGGATTTGCTAGGGGACTGGAGTGGTTTTATGCATAATAGCTATAATTTTGAATTCATGTGGTGCTCTTCTGTGCTTTCTTTGCTCTCTGATATGTACGCCTGAGATTTTATATATACATATATATTTATGTATATATTTTATTTGTTTTTGCAAGTGTTAGGAATTAGGGCCTCTTGTCAGCGGATACAGAACTTAAATACAGGTCAACTGACAAACATTCGTATTGTGAATGTTTAACATTGGCACACTTAAGTGGGAAACAAAGATTCAGGTATTACATTGGTAAAGCTCACGTTGCCAAGTGCTGTGCAGTAGCAGAGCTAGGATTATTATAACTAAATGCCCAGTCCCCTTACGCAGTCCTGAGGCCCTCTTGCTGGCCAGTGCAGCTTCCATCCAGCTGAGGTTCTCCATGAATATGTATATGGAAATCATTTTGTGGAACTCCAGATCTCTCGCATGGTCTTCATCATAAAAAATGCATYAGAAGAGTTGTTCTTACTTGTCAAATTGGCTGTGCAAAGCACAGTAAGTAAAAGTTAAAAAAAAAGGAAAAAGTAAAAATAAAGTAAAAGGAAATGTGACTTCCCTTCTTGTACTGAAAGCAGAGGGGGTGGTTTTCTCCCTTGTGATTATTTGAAGAAGAACAGTCTGGTTTTCTGCAGCCATCTCCCTGCTTGACCTTTGTCGCTGGCTCGTCTGTAGGCTCCTCGCTGAACCAAGACAAGGTGGTKGTTGTTTGGGCCTCCTGGCTGTTCTGATAATTATATAGGGTATTATCAGGCTCTGATCAAAACGTGCCTGCAACTAGGATTTGTTCATGTACTTTCAAAAATAATGAGGCACATGGTGTGGGGTGCTCTCCACTACTACTTCCCTCTAAGGAAAGAAAGCAAATAATTGATCAATCTTTTGACCTCTTCTACCTTTTTATACAGAAAATGATGAGGGAAAAAAAAATGTTCTGGAAATTCAGCCATTATCAAAAGAACAGTAAATTAAATAGTTCCTGTGCTTTAGAGTGGTCAAAATTTTACRCCCATGATAAATTATTTCCAATATTCTTTGCACACAGGTGTGTTTCCTTGGGCATTGGAGGCTTTTGTTTTCCTCAACTAGCAGRGTGCAATGAGCTCCTTAATTGCATCTTGTCTGCATTTTCAGCCTGTCGGCCCACCCCGCTGAAATGCTGCGTTAGTGCAAGGCTGAGACCTGCAACAGCAGCCCTAGTGCTGGGGACACTTGACTGCTCTGAKTGCTGCTGATCTGGTGGCAAAGAAGCCAGAAAGTTTTTGCTGGAAGCTTTAGAAACAGTTGTTCAGAATTGTTAGGATGAAATGTGAATACTGTCAATATGCAAGGAATTGAAAGTATGAATGTGGAGAAATGAAACTTGATCTGAGTGCTCTGAAATTACACTGAGCACTTGAATGATCTTTTTTTGTTTTCTCTGTCCCCTATAAAATCCATAGCTTCAGAAAGAAGATGAAATGGTTCCTATGTAACAAAGCATTGTTTAATGTAAATAGGAACACAGTAGTTGTTTCCCCTTGGTACTATAGGATTTATTGGATCTGTTAGTTTGCAGAAGGTCTCTGCAAGTGAAAGCCAAGGCTGGCCTCAAATACCAACTAATACTGAATTCCAGTCCCTTGTGATAGTTGAGGTTTTTGTTTAAATTACCTGAATTAGTCGTAAAGAGAGAGTTCTTTGAAGTAACTTTACTGTATCAAATCCTGGCTGTAAAAAATCCCTTTGATGTGGCACAGAAATACCTGAAGTGAAATTTATGCATTTGTCTTAAAAGTATGGTTTTCTTAGTCTTAGTTGATAGTATTAACTGTGTTATTCCCTAAGTCCTTCCATAATTCTCATTATCCTGTGCCCTGACCTCATTCTGAGTGCTCTTTGCTGGGTATTTACTCTGTTGCTGAACTGCAGCAGGKCTTTTTTTTGCCAAAATAGGGAGCTTGTTTGAATGTGTAGGTACTAGCAAAGAGGAGACACCCTGGGACATTTCCTCTGTGAAGCTGCTCTTGGCTCTAATTCCTCGAAACCTGCTGGCTTTTGCCTCAGAGCCCTTCTGCTGCTTGTGTCCGTGTGCTGCTATTCCTGGTTTCTGTCCTCCTGTTACCTGCCTACTCCTGTTCAAATGGAAGCTGGGCTTTTTAAAGATATATAGATACGATGCACAGGACTATGAAGTTGCAGGCCTATTTTGCTATGAGAATTGCTTACTTAATTTGGAAATGATCTAAAGCCTTTTTCCTGCCCTGGGAAACATRTTCAGGGAGGAGCCTGTGGCTCAGACTCTTTCATATGAATTAGCAGTATGCAGCAAAATATGACCTAGAAAATGTTTGGACTTGGAACAGTGAAGCTGTGAGAGTATTTATCCTATACTGTAGCTGCAAGATACTGCTGATGTCTGAAATTAAGATTTATTTATTTATTTTTAGTGAGAGATTGCTGACATTCTGCACCAAAAGCAATTCAAAAAGTAATTTCCAGATTCAATCCTATAAGGAGATCTGAAATCAAAGGATGCTGCATTTTTTGTACTAAATCTAAAACCCAAACTGTAAGGAATACTGGGATTTAAATTCAGCATTTTCCTCAGCCTCTGTTTTTCATAACATTCAGAGGAGACTGGATTTCAGTTTCTGTTTGTGAGTGTATTTTTAATATAAGTATTTATTAGAAAGAATATTTGTTCACTGGAACAAAGTAAAAGTGTTAAGCTGCTTTAGCAAAAGAAATGTAGGTTACTTGAGCAGTGCAATAGATGCTGAAGTCTGTGTGGAGTTCTGTATCTTGARAAGAAAGAGAGCCTAAAGAAAAGACTAGACCTATGTAGGTCATGCTTGCTTAAATTGCTTGCTGAAGCAGAGTTTTTGGTTTGGGGGGAATTTTTGTCCCTGATTGCAGGGAAAAAAATTGGTAGCCTTCACTGCATTGCAGAATAAAATATTAGCTGAAAAGCAAAGCTGGTATGATACATGTTTTTACTGCTTCTYGAGTCTTTCATCTAAAACTTCATTGTACTTCTAGGGAAAAAACAAGGTTAGGCGAGTGAAGACCATTTACGACTGCCAGGCGGATAACGACGACGAGCTCACGTTTGTCGAAGGAGAAGTAATAATTGTAACCGGTGAAGAGGACCAGGAGTGGTGGGTGCGTATCCTGCCCGTGTGTACTTCCACATCGTTTAAATTTGACTTGAAAAATAGGAGTTATTTTGAAAGGTCCTAGAAATTTCTTGGGAAAAAAATACGACTTTTTCTTGAAAATCTTTTTTATGTTTGAGAGTTTGTTCCCCACCTCTGTTGTTTTGCTCTGTCCAGTGCTATTGATTGGTTGTTTGGGGTGTTTGTTTGTTTTGTTCAATATCCAATGCTTAAACTCCCATAAAAGGAGCCGTTCTTTTTCTGTTAGGGTCTCTTTCTTCCAGGGAGACTGGTAAAGCCACCCTGACTAGGTCCAGCTTGACTGCAGTTACCTGAAGTTCACCACACACGTTGCATTTGTACTAACAGGGCTGCTGGTCATCTCAGTGATTATTTCTCATTCATGCTGTGTGCTGCTGGTGTTCCTCCATAGAGGGCAATTAGTTAATCAGCCTTTTCCTTCCCTTCCTCCTGTGTCCTTTGGACGGTTCTCTCTCCTCGGGACACGCAGGCAGAGGTGCTGGGGCGTCGCTCAYGGCCGCCTCACCCACGAGCAGGGCGCTGCGGGAGGTTGTCACAGGAGCCGTGACGGGGACAGCTGCTGTCACAGCCCTGTCCCACCGCCTGGTTACAGCTGGAGTGGTCAGTGAACCTGGTCTGTGAAGCACCCCGGGATCTGGAAAAGCCCCGGGCCTGAGGAGTTCATTAAGGCGCCTCAGGGTGGCCGCTTCTGCAGGGAAGTAAAGGCTGTTGACTCGCATGCTTCAGAAATGGAGCCGTAAAGGAGGAAACGGCCACCCCACGTGCTTCCCCGTCCCGTTGTGTGAGCGCGTGGGAGAGGAAGGAGGTGCCTTGGCCTCCTGAAGGCAGCGAGCGGCCCTGCTGAGGACGGCAAGGCAGCTGCGTGGTTTATCAAGGCTTTGCTCTTCCAATGCTGCTGGCTTGAGAGCTGGTTGTAACCTAGGCCTCTTAATAACTTCACACACAAAATGGCTTTTTTTGTACAAATTATCTGTTTTTTTTTAATGAATTACCACMTAATTCAGTCATTGCAGATTGTTCTCCTTAACTAGTTGTCTATGGAGGACACAACTCAGAAGACACTTTAATTGTTATAAATAGTAACATGCAAGTTGCTAAGAATCATATTAATTCAAGGCAAAAGTAGGTGGCCTTTGTCACTTCAAGTGAACTTTTTTGATTTCTGGTATGCAGTCATGAAGACGAGTAATATCACAATTGGAGCAGATATTGTAATATCACCATTTTCTCCAGTGAGATGTTCAGGCTTTATTCAGTTAGCAAGGATGAATGATTCTGAAAAATTTGTGTGTTGTCCCTGTAAGTTAATCTAACTGGTCCCTGTTTTGGTGAGATTCTTTAAATTCAGTAGTACCTGAATTTTTTAATCCTTTTTGTTTTCTTTTTATTTTAAGAGCGTCTTATTTTGACCAATTTATAATACGTTAGTACAGCTTTATTTTATTCCTGCACATAAATTCCAGTGTCAACTAGAGGATGTCTCTGACTGCCCAAGAACTTTGGGAGGCTCCTGGGGTCCTGCGCAGTCCTGCTGTTGTTGAGAGGTGTAAACACAGTCTGTGATTAACTTGTCCTGTTTTTCCTGCTGCGTTGCAGATTGGCCACATCGAAGGACAGCCAGAGAGGAAAGGGGTCTTCCCAGTGTCCTTTGTGCACATCCTGTCAGACTAGGAAAGCCAAGAGACAAGAAACCCTACACTTGAGCATTGCACATCCTTCATGCAAGACGGGCTTTTTAGCAAAAGCGAACGCTGCTGCCTCCCTGTAATCCCGTGCACAACTGTGTATATAGCTGCTGTTCCGAAATAAGAATTCATTTAAGTTTCACCTCATGAGGTTGAATTATATGTATTGTAAATATACTGTGTTATTCTGCCTTTGCCAGTATTATGGTAGCCTTGGAACCTGGCACGCCTTATTGGGTTTGTTGAAGCCATCCTCGGCATCTAGCACTTACATCTTTGTCTATGCTGTTAAAAACCTGTATGAACCGCCAGCTTTCCAAACATAGGTGGTCTCCATCAACCACACGACTGTACAGAAATGACTGTTCCTGATAACTCGGTATTCTCAATATACAATTAGCAGAACGTTAGAAATGAGTGAATGGTTTTGGACAATTGAAAAATCAGTCTGCAGTTTATCAGTGTACGCAGTTTACAGTTATGAAACCCACTTTGGTATTTATTTAATATAGTACTCGGTTAAGTGTAATTATGAAGACAAATATTCACTGACTTTACAGATAACAGTAATGTTTTATGGTGTGCATACAGCATTTCATGTTTATATTATGTGGACCTTTGCCAAACTGTGATTGCAGTTYCCCTGTGATATTACCTCACTATAAAAAGTTACAAACTTATTTCATTCGAAAACTTATGTTAATGGAAATTAGTCATATTGTTCTTTAGTAGATATATGTGAAATTTGCTGGTTTCTTTCACTGAATTCTTAGTAACCAAGGACTTCTAGAAAATGTTAACTGTTGACATTATGCATGCATTTAGAAGCTTACTTGAAACCTGCCTTTGTGCAAAAGTAGTACTGTAGTTACATAGCTACATTTGAAGAACAGAAAAAAAAAAATTGCTATTCAAATTAATGTGAGCTTGCAACAGTATTTGTTTATAGCTAATTGGCTCTTTGAACAATGATTTTGTGTGTGCTATATTTTTTTCCTCTGTCTTCAACCTTGCTAAAAGTTAGTTACCTAAAATAAAATTTCTTACGTGGTGGTATAAGGATAAATTTAAATTATTGTTAATTGCTCTAAAAATGGATGTTAAGATGAACTTTCATGCATTTGATCAGGCTATTAATAATATAACCCACATCACGAGTACCAAGCTGTGTTGAGTAGATTTCACTAAACTGAATTTGTAATAGTCTTAATTCAAAGCACCAACAAGAAAGAATACCGTTACAAAGGTAATTTCTCAGAAAATCAGTGGAAGGTTGCATTTGACCGGTGGTTTCTTGAAAGTTGGTATAAAATTGCTTTGCCAGAAAACACCTAAATGTAGTAGTGAAAACAGTCATTTGCTATCTCACTTTCAACAGCATTTTGAACTTCAAAACCTAATGAAATTATGRTCTTGCCCCCTCCTTCCCCTGTTTGTCTATAGCAGGTTTTATAACTTTCATATGTAGTTTTGTATTACTTGTTTTAAATGTTATTTTGGCATCAGTACCTAGTTCTGCTGTTTCAAAGCAGATTGTCTTGGCTGCATAGAAAGACTTTTTTCATTTCATAAAAGCACATCTCAAACTTTCTGAAGGCGTTCATTTTTAATCCAGTTTTACAAGACTGTAGTCAGTGAATATTTAATTCTGTTTATGTGGCAAGTATGGAAACAAGTATTGGTGTGAATCAAACACGGAGGAATGCAAGTGTTTATCAACTATTAATGGTTTTATCGTTTATGACAGTTTTATTCCAAGAAAAATTATGACACGAGTGAGCGAGCCTGCTGGCATCTCATCTTCAGTATTACCACTTCCAGTATTTCAGACTTTATTCTTTTTTTTTTTTTTTTTTTTTTTTTAATTGAAAGGAAGTCAGGACTGGCGTTTATTTAGCATTCCATTTTATCCATTAATACAATGATTTAAGTTGCATTAAAGAACAAAACCTATTCACTTTTGTGGTTAATTGTATTTTTAAGTGATCTTGAAATAAACTGATAAAAGCAAACCATATAAAGAAAACCTAGGCATGTAAAATTATGTAGAGTCAAATGTCTATTCTTTTCTACGCTCTTTAAAATAGTATACATATGCATTTTATAAAATTAAATGAGTTCCGCTGGGAACAATAGTTCTGTTTATTCTGGCTTATTGTGGGTCATGAGAAATCTGAAAATGTATGATATTGATTGAGTTTAGTACAGTATTATATTTGAACTCAATGAGCCACTGTCTGCAATTTTGTACATGACATAGTATTTGGAAAGTCTAAATCTTTATGGAAAAATAGCTGATAAGGGGTTGGGGGGAGGGCAGGGCAAGGTGCCCCCAGAGGGGGAAGTATGTTCTGCAGATGATATCTAATTTACTGTTGAACAACAGTTGCTATTTATTTTTTTATTACATAGTGCATCAACATGTACAGAAATCAGATCTGGTCGTGCCACTAGTTAAAATCTTGACTTCTCATTGAATGTTAAGGTAAAACATCAGTACACGTCTATTCACATGTATTTAATGTGACAGTTTTTGAGTACTGTATGTGTTAATTTCTACTTTTTTAATATTTAAAATTGCTTTTAAATAAATGTATTCAGTTGATCCCAGCTATCTGAACAAGGCCCTTTTGTCAACTGGAATATCCTGTAGGACCAAAGTCTGGATTCCCAATCAATAGAACTTCAACACTTGAAATGACTTTTTTTTTTTCTCTTGGATCTTGACCATCCTTTATATAATGCAACTGAATGTGTATATTTTTAAGAGCTGTTAAATATGGATGGAATTGCCTTTCTCCTAGAAACTTTAGTAAGTAAAGTTAGAAGCAAAATACCTGTTCTGTCCACGGTTTTGGTTGCTTTCTCTGTGCCTTCCATCGGCTCTGTGGAAAGCAGAGCAGGAGTGTGTGTGTGAGCATGGGCAGGATTGCAGTTTTCGTGCCACTTGTGCAGTTTATTTTCCCCTCCCTGACCAGGCTCTGGAGAGGTTTTGATTTAACAGCTCCAAAAAGAACAAGTCGCGTGAAATTTCTTCCTCATCTTCTAGCCAGAAGAAAAGTTGGGAGTGTAAAATTGCACAGCGTGGCTTGTATGAAAAACAGCAACTGTGAGARCACAGGGCTCTCCAGTCTGCTGTGATAAGACTCCTTGAACAGTGTGTTTAATGTAGGCCGAGCCCAAGTTCTGCAGAGAATATTCTCTCAAAACTCAGTTTAGTGCAGCTGTAGGTGTTTCTTCTTTTCTGAGACGTTATTTTAGCCCTTCTGAAGGGCAGCTTGAGGTTTCCAGATCAATATAGCATAGACAGAGCACTGGATGGTGGTGTTATCTGTACAGCTGTGAGCTGGAGTGGTTTTTATCTAATATAAACCAACCTGTTTGGGGCTTCTTAATGATGCTTTGGGGGAGTTACCTGAAACCTGATTTACAGCTCAGTTGTCTGCAGAGCGCAATTGAGTTTCCCCTTGAAATAAGCTAAGTGCTTTTGGGGAACTTGTCCTTGAGCTTGTACCCCCTGCACGGCCGCGTGCCGGGAGCGGGGAATTCCGAGGAGTTCCATGAGACTGGAGTCAGAGCAGGGCCAAGGACGGGAATTGGGCACTGTTCGGATTTACCCTGCTCCTCTCTGAATCTCCGAGCAGACCCTGCTGCTCGCAGTGACAGGGATGTCTGCTCTAAGCTCTTCCAATAGCAGGGATGATTTGTGGTGGCTCTCACACCCACTAATGCTGCTACAGCATCTAATCAATATAGTTTGCTGCTCTGCATGAAGAAGAGTACTTTGAACAAGCCGTAAGTTAACCTGGAACATTAAATSCAGTGTTTAACACCGCTGTGCTTGGTCTTGGTCCATATAGTGTCTGATTGGAAGTGTTCCCTCCTGCTCATCCTCCTTTGCCAAAAGATGGGTGTGTGACTTGGTCCATCCCCACAGATCCCCCCTGACCTCCCACCCCCTTAGGGCTGAGGCTGTTGTTTTTCCTTCAGTCAAAATAGGATTTCTGCTTTTCCTTGAAGTTCTATAGTGTAAATTCATCACCTTGGAAGGCTCAAGCAAGATGCCCCAGCATGGTAGCAGTGAAGGCTGTGCTGGTTACTTTTGTTAGATTCAATCAGTAGCACAAAACTTGGGGTTTTGGTAACTAATCTCCCTTGTCTCTTTCCAAGATGCTCCTTGAGAACACCACAGTCTGAAGCTGGTCTGAAACCCCATTTAGTTACTAAGGCTTTTCTCGCCTCCTGCTCCTGCATTCTTGCTAACGTGAGAACTGTAAAAATGCTGCTGCGCTGAGGTTGTGAATGTTTAAATAAATACTCAAACCCTGTTATTTCCTGAAAAACAGAAGTGCCTTGAGCTTGTGACCGACTGCTTGAGCTCATCTTGCAGCTCATGGGCTGCAAGCTGTTTGTCAGCACAGTGGCTTTCGCTGGGCCTGCTGGCTCTTCTGCGGCTTGAGGACACCATGAGCCACAGGCTATTTCAAAGATAGCTCAAAGACAAAAGCAGGCATCAATTTTTCAAGCTAGGAGAGATTATACAGGCTATACTCTCTTTTCTGCATAGAACGTTCATAGATATCTGCAGACCTGTGCCTTCATGTTTGCTAGGCTTCCCCTCATTCCCAAGTGTAGATAGAGTTATTTCTTTTTGTCTTCTTTCAGACCTTTCTGGAACTGAGGTACCACTAAAGTGAGAGTTCCAGGCAGGAAAGTTCTAGACAGGAAAGGGGGAGAGTCCTGGGTCCAGTCTCTGTAGTTGAGCAGTAACCGATGTGGGTCCGTCCTGAAATGGCCAACCACAAACTCTGATTTCATGAGATGTTTTTGTGGTGTGGAGCCTGACCAGGTGGGACAGGAAAGCCATCAGGTGCAACGTGGGGAGCGCTGCAGCATTTCTCACCTCCAGTAGATGTGTGGGCAAATTCACAAGCCAGAGTCTCTGCTGTTCAGGACCTGTGCCAGAAAGAGGCTGGAAAGCGAATGCTGAAGCTGGGAAGCAAAAGCTGAACTGCAGAGAGCTGGTAGGCTGCTCACAGAGCCAGTTTGGCACCTGGGWCACATGGAGGCCATGGAGTTTCCAGCCCTGAGTTTCGTGTGACATGAACTGATCTTCAGCAGTGCTGGGGGAAGGAGAGTTCCAAGTCTTCTACAAATTATTAGAACAAATGTGAACTCTGTGTATGCCTGTGGGTAGAGGTGCAAGAGCAGAAGAGCTGGAGGGATGAGGGACACAAAGCACAACTTGGACATCTTTGGAGGAGCAGGAATGGTGCTCTCCTGGATGTAAAACACAGGTGTAAGGGGTGCAGGAGGGGCAGCTCCTGCCTGCGGGCCCCGGGGACAGGACCTGGAGCCCTGCTTGGACACGGCCCTGGCACCGCTGCTACCTCCTGGCAGCCGCTCTGCCASGGACACCGTGTGGGGGCTCAGTCCTGCTCGCACCGTCCTGCTCTGCACCCTGCTCCTTCCACGTGTGTCCATATAGGATGCTGCAAGATCCAAGCTCCTTCTGCCCCCTTCCCTGCCTGGATGCAGAAGGAGCACCCAAGAAAAATGAGGGATTTGGGGAGTGGAAGATTTCTGCRTGGGATTTTGTTGGGGGCCTGTTTTATCAGTGCTATTTCATGCCCCCAAGCAATGTTTATTTAGACCTGGGTCTCTCTGAGGTTATCACGTCCCTGCCTGCTCTGCYGCAGCCTCAGCTGCTCGCTAAGGTAAGAGGAAACAGCCAGAGCCATTTCCACGGCGGCCTCAGGGCCTGCTTGGCTCCCCGGCGCCCTGGCCGCCCGTGCCCCTGCCCGTGGGCCCGGCAGGGGATGCGGCCGCGGCGGCTGCGCTGGGGCGGGAGCCAGCGCGCGGCCCCGCCGTGCCTCGGGGGCGCAGAGATGCCGTTTCGCGGTGCCGTTTGGGCAGCGCCGCTTCGCTCAGCGGGGCGGGCTCGGGGGCATGGAGCCGGCCGGGCGGCAGCCGCCATCCCCGGCGGGGCCGCGGCAGGTGCGGCGGGGGGCGGCGCGGCCAAGGTGGCGGAGCCTCCTCTTCCTCCCCCCGCGCCGCTTCCTTTTATAGCGATGCGGCTCGGCGCTCGCCGCCTGCCGCCCGCCGCCGACCTGCGCCACTGAGGCCGCCAGGCCGGGCTCCGAGCCGCCTGCAGCCCCGCCGGCGCAGGTAGGCGACCGCTGATAACCGTTGGCGGCCGTTGATGGCCGTTGGCGGCGGGCGCGTTCCCGCCTGGGGGGAATGGCGGGAGGCGCAGCCCGGGGAGGCTCCCGCGCCGGCGGCGGGCGGGCTCGGCCGCGTGTCCGTGTCCCGGGCAGGGCAGCGGGGCCGCGGAAGGGGCTGCGGGCGGCGGCGGGACGCCGCTGCCTCAGTTTCCCGCAGCGTGCTGCGGAGCAGCGCGACCTGCCTCGTCCCGCCCGCCGTGCGAGCGGCTGCCGCGGCGGCCGAGCCCGTGTCCGCGGCGGGCGCGTGGAGCTGGCGTGTCGGGGCACGGGGGTCCTGCCCGCGGACACCCCCTGCGCCGGGGCGCGCGGAGCCTGGCGCCCCAGGGAGGGCAGGAGCGGCCCCAGCGCCCGCCTTCCAGCGGGGAAATAAATAAACAAACAAACCAACAAACAAACAAACGAGGCATTTGGCCCCAAGCAGAGCCCCAAGGCTGGGTGCAGCAGCAGCCAGCGCGGCTGGGTGGTTTGGGGAGGAAGTCGCTGTTCTTGGATGTTGCCTCTCGCGCCCCATGGCACTGTGAGCAGCCGCCCCRGGTGCGGAGCAGGGCTGCTGGCCTGGCCGGGATCCCTGTGGATACCCTGTCCTGCTCCAGCCTCCCCCGCTGTTGTTCCTGCCCGTCCGGCACCTGTTACTGAGGGGATGTGCCATAGCTCAGGCCAAGATGGCCAAAAAAGCAGGGCCGGACAGTGTGGAGGGAGGAAATTCTGCTTTGCGGGGTTCAGCGCTTCCCGTGCGTCTGGGGGCAGTGGGGTGGTTGTGATCCYGGCCGGCGGCGCAAACTGCCCCTCTCCTGGGTGAGTTGTAGCATCTCTCGATGGGGAAATGCCAGGGGAATGGCCGCGTGCTTTGGAGCTGCATTATCCTTTAGCTGTTTAAAAATGAGCTTGAATCTTGAAAAAATTGATGGTTCTTTAAGTAAAAGTGCGTTCAAAAAGGCATGATGGCCACAGCATTTCTTCAGTGTTTCACTAATGTCTGATAAAAATGGGGAAGAGGCGAATTGTGTAATTTCACCCCAAACAGAG